GTTTGGCCTGCAGTGTGCTGCCAGAGTGTTTCTGGGGCTTGTGCTGCAGGCTGGTTTAGTTGCCTGAAAGTTTCACATTCTTAACTCACAGCGATTTTATCTGAAGTCCTCCTTTCCTGCTAAACTGCCTCTGCAAGGAGCTCAAAGCCTTGGGACTCTGGTGCTCTTAATCTGGGTGCTCGTGAGAAACCTGCAGGTGGAACACCAAATAAAACTGAAATGTTTGACAGTATGATGCGGGGAGGCATTTAATCTGTAAACCTTAGTGCTGAACAAGCAATTTGTATATATTGTGTATTAGAAAGAGTCTGTAGTTAGAAGATAAAAACTTTCAGGAAGTTGAAACAGAGACTTCCACAAAACGAACTGTCAGGTATGAATGTTTTGAGTCTTTGTGTTCTTATGTAAGAGAGTCAATAAGCCTGAGCACAGTACATTCAAATCCTTCTACATAGCACTCTAATGAATGTACAATTAGGATGGGTATTGAAAAAATTTCTTTGTTATGAAGATTTTTGGCAAATGCCTTCTTTCTCCAGAGAATAAAAGAACAAAATATTTAATCCCAAATGCTTACCTTCCTATAATTGTGCAAAACTGAGTAAATAGAGGAATTGACAAGCTGTGTCTTTCTGGAGGTGGAAATTCTCTGAACCCTTCCAGCCTGGAGGGTTTTATTTTAACAAGTGTATATGGCAGTGTTGTCAAAAATTGAGGATAAACCAGAGAGAGAAGCACTAGAAGAACTAGTGTTTTACTGCCAGTGGCATCTTTAGATGAATGAGAAAATTGACTGGAGAGTTTGGAAAAGTTATTTGTAGGAGTGGTGCTTGGTGTTTGAGGAGAGGAGCAGCTCCATTTGTAGGTCAGTACTTAAAGCCATAAGAAGATCAGGGTGATACAAGTAATGTGTACTTCTAACACTGCCTTTGTAATGATGAGGGATTTTAACCCTCCAATTCTGCAGCAGACTTTACAGACACCTTTTGCATGATACTGATATTAAATCTTCTTCCTTTAAAGCTCACTGTTGAAGCTATCTTATGGCTTAGTTATTTGAAACCCGTGGTTTTGGAGAAGAGGATTTACTTCATTTAAAAAATGGTCAGGCTTATCTGCTGCTTTTGTGCTGCTGTGGTCTGCAAACATGCATAGGTGACATCCTAGCAACTGGGTAGCTGTAAATCCTGAATAGGGACCCATTCCTCCTCTGTGTGTGTATGTGTGTGTGGAAATGGCATATTTCTAAGGAAGCTTGTATGCATATGAATGGTAACCCTGCTGACAAATTGACAAAAATCAGGAAGGGAAATTTTTGCCACGTGGTAGCTATTGAAAAGAACAGCTACTGCTAGTTATTGTTAATAAAAATATTAATGTGATCATTTGAAGAAATTGAAACAAAAAGTACAGCTGCAAAGATGCAGGGGATAGTAAGTCCCATGAAGGTAATGCTTATTCATCTATTTTTTTCAAAGTTCATCTTGTATAGGGCCCTCCATTTCTTCACAAAGAAATAAATAAACAGGAGAGATTATTTTCTGATAAGTATTTTAATTAGTAGATTTTTAGGTGGATATTTTGATTTTGGGTTTTTTTTTCAAGTTTTGGAGAAAAAAGAACTACGTTGCTGCGATGAAAAACTTTAGGTGAGCCGTTCAGCTGGTGCTCACCCAGCACAAGGTCCTCTCCAGTTGTGTGGGTTTGTGCTGCTGCTGTGCTGCTGTGCGCTGGCTGCTCTGGTACTGAAGGCGGCTTTGACTTCAGGCAGGTGTGGAGCACCTGGCTGGTTTATCCTCATGGGTGCATGTCCGTGGGATAGCCGATACTCTGAGACCATGAGGGTATAAATGCTGCCTTTCAGGTTTGAGGCAGTGCCTGAGATGCCTGAGCCGAGGAGGATGTCTGGGATCGCCTTCCCCGGCAGTGGAGGAAGGGAACACCCAGCCGTGCTGCTGAGCACCGGGCTAAGCCCAGCCTTTGCAACACCCACTCAGCCCGCGATTGCAGTTATTACCAGCAGCAGGAGATGTCATTAGTTGGGAGCATCCCTTTCCTTGGGGAAAAGGGGGGAGGGGGCGGGGGCCTTGTGATTCATTCCCAACTGATCAGAAGGTGCTTTTATCCAGTGTGGCAAAAGCAGGAGAGACCCTGCCCTGTATATATGGCGTATTTTATTTACATTTTCCTGTTGTTCATTCTCCTGTTGTGAGATGTTTGCTGTTGCTTCCTAGAGAGAATAGAAACTCTGTAAATCAAGTTGTCAGGTTTTACTGAATTGCAAAGCCATGAGAAGTTTAATTTGTGCCCTGAAGGGAGGACCAGCCACTGACTGGACTGCTTGTGAGTTGTTAATTGTTCATGGGTAACCATTAAACAGTTTGAAAATACTTGTCCTTTGAGTGTAACCTGAGCTCTGCTGTAAGGGAAAGAAAGGAGGTGGGGGGAAGCATAGAACAGCAGCAGGATAAAAATGTTACTTTCACAGAATATCCTGAGTTGGAAGGAGCCCATAAGGATCATCGAGTCTGACTCTTAATGGCCCATACGGGGATTGAACCCACAACCTTAATGTTATTAGCACCAATGTTGCCGTGAGAAAGTTAAGGCAGTTTTTTACAAGAAAATGTAATAAAAGTGTATCTTTGCTCTTTGAAAACTCTTGAGAACTCAGTTTTATTGAATACAAAGAAATTAATTTTGATTCATGAAAGTTGACTGGTTACAAAGCATTAATATTTTTGGTTGCTATTTGTTTAAGGAAGAAGGACTTTAGTGAAGTAAAGCGTGTGTGACACTTCTGCAGACTTACACCAAATACAGCTGCTGGTGATTTAAGTCATATGCAAAGTAGAACATAATTAATTCCATGTTGACAGCCCTGGTGATTTAAGTCGGAGAACAACCAGAAGTCCTGTAGATCTTTCCACAGCCACTCCACTGCTTCTTCGGGGACTTTATCCCACATTAGTCATTCGGGGTCCAGTTAATCTCAGAGTCCTCTGCTGAGATTTCGGAAATGGCAAACACATTCTGAAACTAATTTGACACTGCAGAGATTGAAGTTTTGCTCGTGCGTAGTCTGAGGTAGTATGTGTAGTATTCCAGGCTGGAGTCAGAGTGCTTCTGTCACTGGCAGGGAATTTGCCTGAGAATAACTGGTTAATTTGCAGATTTTAAAGATGACCTACAGAGGAATTGAGAAGGATCTCAAATGTTCTGGTGAATAAAGCAAGATTTTCCACTAGTTTTAGACAAGCTACCAAAAGCTTCATGCAATATAGTGTTTTCCTAGTTTTGCTGTTGCAGGTGCTGAATTGATTTCACTTGTATTATTATATTAATCTTTAAGTAGAAGATATCATGTGTTGAGAAAAAATATCAACAGTTCAATGTCTTGGTCTTTTGAGACTGAGGCTATGGACTCAATTAATGAAAGAAAAGTATGAGTTTGTATTTATAGATGGTTTGCCTTAAGGTTTCTCTTTGAGCTGGTATTTAATAAATCTGTTATTGCCTGAGAAATAATTTTTTCCTGAGACCAACAGAAAACACTTTGAATGAATTTGATGAGGTTGACATTTAGTATTTGCATTATACAATGCTTTGTAGGTGCTGTGTGTTTTGAAGTTGCCTGCCTGGCCCAAATGCTTTCCGTTCCTGCTATTCTCCCCAATACCTGGAAAGAAACAACAGTGTGAGGATGCTTAGACAGGCTCTGTTTACAAACTTTTTTTGAGATTTTGCTTTGGGCTATAATATATTGTGTTGGATTTAACTGACACATCAAATAAAGCAGTGATAGTGATTGCAAAGTTGAATATGAAATATTTGAAGATCAGGGTAGAGGAAGGTGACAAGCATTACAGCATGCAACTTCACTTACTTAGGTATTACTTACTGTATAATCTAGATTATTTCTGAGAAGAAAAATTTGTCTGGCCCATAATTTTGAGAGGTGTACTAAAGTTGCTAATTACTAGTTTACTAAGTGCTTAGAAAGTTATCCCATTTCTAATGTTGTGAATGTATAAATATTGAGATAAAAGATTGCAAGATGGTGGCTTTACAGACACAGAGAAGCCCTTTAGCTGCTGGCAGAGTAAGCATTTAATTTTTTTAACACTGTGACCTTTACATTGATCTAATAATTTATTAACGTATTTTACTACATTTAAGCATCTTAGATATAATAACTCTTAAGATGATATTTCCATTTATTGTTATAAAGAACCTCATAGCATGAAGAATATATGTTGTGTAGAAACTGCTCAGTGCTATTTATGTACTTTCTCTTTAAAAACAACTGTTTAATTTTTTAGATCATCACTGTAAAAGTGATGTTTCCTTGGGGCCAGAGCTGTTTTTTTCATAAATTATGTATGAGCATATGAGCTGGCTTTTTGCACCTAGAAGTTAGTTTTATGAAGGTAGTTTTGTAAATGTGATGTCTAAGTGCTATTTATTCAAGTTGCTTGCCCCAGAACTGTTTCCTAGTAATTGTTAAAAGCACTTGCTAATGGAATGCTATCTCCTAATTCAATAGGTTTTGCTACCTGATTCAAACTGGTGAAACACCTAGATACCAAACAGTAGTAAATTCATAAGCAATTTGCTGTACTTGGCTCCTAAAGTTTTCCAGTACATTGGTTATTGCAGTTGTACTGGCTGTGTTTCCAGTTCTATTGAATGTCAGTGGGTAAGGAAAGCCTAAAAGGAAAAATGATAAAATGACATTTTAGCACTCTGTTGGCAAGTCAGTGCTGACATTTTCCAAGAAAGGAGATTATGCAAGTTCTTTATGGATAGTCAGTGTGTTTCTTGTGGGGTGTTTATTTGCCTTTGAGAAAAGAAGCCATCAGAAAATACAAGGGGGTGAAAAAAAGTGTCCACATTATATTTTCAGAAGCTAAATTTTTGGAATTAGAATATAACGTGTGCAGAGAAAAAGGTAGATGCTAAATCTACCTGCTTTGTACTAAGTCTTGTTATCTTTTCAGAAAAAAGCCAAAGGCCAGCTCCTATTTGAGCAAATCATGTATCATCTGGACCTTATTGAAAGCGACTACTTTGGATTAAGGTTCATGGATTCAGCACAAGTGGCAGTAAGTAATTATGTTCTTTTTTAAGCAACAGTGTAAAAGTTAAATCCTAATACTGACAAAAATGCTATAAGAAAGCTGCCTTTGTGAATTAAGTTTTGTGCAGAAGCTGTGCGGTGTGTGATTTTCCGTGTCCCCATGTTTAATTCCACCTCCAGCACTCTAACATATGATCATGCTGTTGTCTCTTCCTTCCTTGTTTCCGTGTTCCTGTCACACCTCTTGGCACTAGGCAGGCTGGTCCCGTCAGACCCCAGAGCCTGGTGTGTCGTGTAGAAACTTTTGGTGCTGATGATACAGAGAGGAAGGAGCAAAACCAGAGTGTGTGCTTGGCCCTTTTGTTGTGTGCTATACAGAGAGGAGGAGGTTTTCCTTTGCAAATGCCTTCGGCTTTCTTGTCAGCAGAAGTCACCTCGTTAGTGTCTGGTTGCAGGAGGGGTGTACCTTTGATCTGTTCAAATCATTGTGACTCAGACCTGCAACTCTTAAGTTTTTAGGAGGCTGTGGGTGTGTTTGTATGTATCAGCTTGAGTTGAGGGTTCTTCCAAGCCCAAGTTTGTTGGTGTTTTATTGTGTGTTTCTAAAAATGTAACAGGTTTTGAAGTCAGAAGCAGAGCATTGTCTGTAGCAACCACAGTTCTTTCATTTGTGGGCTATGGAGTTTTATATAGATACTTCTTACAGTCAAGTATTTAATCCTGCCACCTAGGGTAGCTGCAAGTTAAGTGAGCTTTTAGGCAAGGAGTGTTTTTTTTCTTTGTTCTGCATCCCTGTAACTTAAACTCGTATTCACTTAGCCCAACATCCCCAGGTAGAATGAGATCTGTGTTTTCCTGCTGCATATGTCAATCTTATTTATTAGATGCATAACCTAATTGTTTTTGTGTTTCAAGGCCACTTCAGAATTATTTCAAGGTTAGGATGGCAGAGGGGAAGCTCAGACAGTTGAGCTAAATATCTGAATTGTTCAAAGTCAGCATACAAAAATGGAGGCAGTGACTTATATTCCTTTATTTCTGTGAAGGTCTGCATCCCTAACAGTTTGAAGATGATGTCTTAATTGTTGCAGCCTTGTACAAAGGCAAAAATAAAATCCACAAATTTGAACCTTTGAAAGAAGTTAACAGTTTTGGACACATTGCTCCACCCCAAAGCACTTATAACCTGATGGCTTCTTTCCAGAATTATTGTGATCAAATTTTATGCTTAGCATGTAATTGTAGGGAATGTGCTCCTCAGAGAGAAGTGTTGGTGTTCAGCATCTGAAGCAAACTTAATGGCCAGTGAGATTAGCTGCTGCTGGTCTGTAGTTCCCAGTAGTGAAAGTGGTCTTAAACCCCTTGCAGAACAGAAACATTTAACACTAAGGAGAAAAAGACCATTCCACTAACAGATGGATGGCATTCAGAACCATGCATACCAACAGAAATGAGAAAACAGCCTATTGCACACTGTTTTATATTTCTCAAAATCATGTTAGCTGTGCTCAGCATGTGCAGCCCAAGATGCTGGGTACTGATAGTGAAGGACTCTATTGCATTTGTCTTTTTCTTCAGAAAAGCAGTATTGTCTGTATGGTTAAGGTATCCTAACTCAGTTTCTGCCGTGTGGCTTCTGATGTTATTTCCCTGTCTCTAAGATCTCATAGGGTTAGTTTTAACTGGAAGAATTATCTATATGATAGTTTTTTTTTCTCTTCCTGATCTGCTAGCAAATAAAGTTAGTTCATCTTGAAAAGAGTTAATCTTTCCTGCCGCAGCAGTGGCTCATGCCTTGCTTTTGTCTGGCAAATTATTACTGCCAGTCCAGAGAGCATGTGATTGAATATTTGATCCTGCACAATCTACCAGGTACAGGGGATTTCAAACTTTGCTTCCTTTTCTTAACTATGTGTGACTGAAAAACAGCAGAGTAGAGATAACAATCTGTTTAAACTGGACCTTAATGATGAGCTGTGTATAATGAAGCAGAAAAGATTGCATTTTGCCATAAGAGCTGAATGCAACAGCCAGAGATAATTAATTGCTTTAAGAAATGAAGAACTGTTGCAATAGCAGCTATTCCTGCAAAAGGAGCTGGCAAGTTCTAGCAGAAACCCAATCTGCAGCTGGAAACAAAGACTAATCAAGTGACTTGTCCAGGATTATTCAGGAGACCTGTTGAATAAACAGTGTAAGAACCCAGTCCCTTATTGTAGACAGAATTGTCCCCTGGCTCTGAAGGATATAATCTTTCTGCTACTCAGCTTAAATTTAAGAATATTGCCATACTTGCTAGTTACTTTTACTGATACAAACTGGCAACACATAATTATATAAAAGTTTTAGAAATCCCACACTTGTTTTAACTACAAATAAGTTTCCAGTAGATCTGTAGTGAACAGCTGAAGGATTGCCTTTTTTTCATTCTTTTCTGCTGCTGAAGTAATCACTTGTTGGGTATTAAAGATTTCCTGGGAAGTGGGGGAAGCCCAGATAATGGAAACTTCCTGACATTTTGGATCTTAGTATTCAAATAATAGCTTCTTTAAAAATGTTCTTGAAACCATTAGTGAAGTGAAAGAATTGTTGTTTTCAAGTGATTTCTGTGTTCACTCTTGTTTGCTGTTCAGGAAGAGATCAGTTTTAGCCTCAGCATCTTATCTAACAAACTTCATTTGCCCAAACTTCTTGACATGTTGTTGGGTCAGGATTTGAAAGGTTTTTGTATGTGTTTTGTTTTTCATTTCTGCATCAGCAAACTATTTTAGTAAGGACTTCCAGTACTCTGTGCAGTCTGTTGTTTGTGTTGCCTTCTGTTTAGCAAACTTTATCTCTGATTTTCAGCAGTAGACTCTGCTGTGCAAACCCTCAGCAAAAGTAAACTTCTTTTCCAGATCCACTTGAATTCCATTATAATCATTTGGAATAAATCTCAAGTTTCTTGATGTCTGTGCCTGTCCATTCATGTGTTGGTTTTGGGGCTGGTTTTTTTTTGTTTCATTCCCGCCCCCACTTAAAATCAGTTCTGTTTCCCTTCTCCCTTGCACATCACCATTGAGCAGAGCTCCTGTGGGCAGCAGCAGTCAGAGCCCAGCAGAGTGAAACGCTATCGGTGCCTGTCATGGGCCTGCCTCTCTGTTCCTTCCCATGGAATGTGGAGGAGATGAGAGAAGACAGGAGGGAGGTGAAACAGGGGGGCACAGCCAGCCCTGCAGCCTAGAAAGGGCTCTCCTTGCCATTTCTGTATCTAAATCACCTGCAAGCCTCCAGCTGGGTAGTTTCTTTTTTTTTTTTTTTTTTTTTTTTTGGTGGAGGAAAGAGTAAGTAAACTGTCTCTTACAGCAAGTGAGTTTATGGAATAGGAAAAAAGATTATATGATTTCCTTGTCGAAAAAAAATTGCTTAACTCCCATTTCACTGGTAGCATAAGCAAAATTTATGCAAATACTTGCCTCATTCCTCCTTAAGCTTTCTGCTTTATTTTAAAAATGTATTAGATGCATTTCAGATAGCTCTCTGTAGCTACTTAGTTTGAGTAGGCAGTGAGAGCATTCTCAGCTGTATGCACAGCAGCAGCAGATGGTTTAAGCATTCTCATCTGCAGCTAATACAGCAATCAGTCTCAGCCCGGCTGTGTTGCAGGCTGACTTCGCTCTCTGCAGTAGGCAGGGCTGTTCTGGAGGCAGGAATGTGTTTACACTTGGCAGTGCAACCTGAAAATACTGGTTCTTTTTCATACCCTTGTTGCTTTTCTGTCCTCCCTGGAGCTCACTGTGAACTTCATGTCACACGGTTTAACAAAAGGAGTCTTGCTAAGCGTATAATTTATCTGTATTAGTTGCAAGGTGACATTTGGAATTGATCTGATGAGGTGTTGTTCCGTGGGCATGGTGAACCATGCAGGACATGGGGTGTCAGGCTCTGGCTGTTGAGTCAGTGCAATTATGTTGGTCAGGGTGCCGTGTTTCCTGTTCAGGTGAGTCACCTCCTTTGGAGAAGGGAGCTGTTGGCCCTACACAGCACTAGGAAGGAGATCTGTCCCGCTAGATGTGTGTTCAATTTCCAGCTTCTGGTATAAACTCTTCAGCAGTGTGATGATGTGCAATTACTTTGGGGACCATAGTGTACCTGTGTAGGTGTTTCAGTCTGCCAAGTATAGCTTTTTTCACATGCTATTGTACACAGTGTAAGTCAAGCCATTATTTTGGCTTCTTGTCCAGTATATAGCTTATAATTAGCATTAGTAGGTGAGGCAGTAACTTGTCCTCCCATGTGACAGTTGCTAAAATGAAACCTTTGAATAGATTCTTGAGAATTAGCTAGAGCTGACTCTGATACTGGGACACAGACAGCTCTGCTGTTACTGCACTTGAGTCATCTAAAGAAAATGCCTGAAAGCCAACAATATTTATTTTGTCTCTCCCCTTCCTGCCCCAAGTAAACATCACACACAGCTGAGTGCCAGAGTCTTCAGCTATGATTTATGCTTCTCTGGCCCATTGTCACTGGCTGACCTACTAATGCGTGAATTAAGTGTTTGTCTGGACAGGATGAAAATCGAGTGAAGTGGTTTGTTAATATTTTTTTTTCTTTTAAGAAGACAGTGCTGCCTTGAAGATTTGGTTTAAATAAGGTACTCTACAGAATGTTTCTGTTGTTCAGAACTGACATTTTGCATTACAAACTTTGAGCAAAATGATCTTCAGCCAGCACAGAAAGCTATGAATTGTGAAAGATTTGAATTAGATTTTTTTAACGAAGTACTTGTTATTCCAAGATGGTCTTCATAACGTTTCCTTTTATGTTCTTTCTGGGAGATTTCTTTATTCATAATTCAGTGAAATTAATTTATTTTTCAGCATTGGCTGGACAACACCAAAAGCATTAAAAAGCAAGTTAAAAGTAAGTGTCCTTTCCATTTTCTCTTGGAACATTGTATTTAACATATGGAAAGCACAGCCATTTGAAATGAGTGGTGGGGGGGAGTGTCCTGTGAGGAGGTGAGGGTGGCAAGTGACAAAAGCCCAGCATGGTGCTACTGATTGTTTAATGGTATCTTCCCTCTGTAGCTCATATTACTTTATTCTGATGTTCTTAATTAAACATGTTATGGGCTTATTAATTATAGTTGAAGTGGAGTCAAGGCAGCTGAAGATGTTCTAGTATTAAAGAGCATTATCCTGGCTATAGGAAAACTTGTCTTGGACCTCCTTCAATCTTGCATGCTTGAATCTGTGTCCAGTCCACCAGGTCCTCACCTGCTGCACAAGGGTTCAGTGTAGCCTGCTTGTTGCAGTGATGTGTGCTTGGGTAAGATGTTGTTTAGCAGCTTCCCTTCTCTGCACTGTGGGAAGTCTTCAGGGATTTGTGGTGTTGTTTTAATGCAAGAGAGGTTTTGGAAGCAGTGAGAGGAAGAAAATTCCTCCTGTCAAATGCAAGAATCAGCAGAGCGATGCACATTTTTAAAGAGCTATTAATCCACCCTTTTGCTGAATTAACTCTTTGGTTTCCAGAAGAGATGATTTTTCCATAGAAGGGTCTCTTAAATTCCCATAAAGTATGTCTAAACTTCTGTGGAATAGAAGGGCCTGAGTTGTCAGCAGTGAGTATTTCCCAGAGCCCTGGGAACGTGTTGCAGAGACCAACACCGTACCTGAAGGTTTAGTCAACTGTAGAGCCAAGATGCTCATCTTTCTTGGTGATGGATAGAGCCCTTAAATATAGGGATTAACCTGGATTCGTGTGCTCTTGGCAGGAAGAAATCACGTTAATGTGGTAGGACCGTTGGGTTGACTTGTAACACATAAAACTTCTGTGTGCACGTTCAAGTGTCTGTTCACCCTGATGTTCCTCACAGATTTCCCTGGCATAAAGAAATTCCTGCCTTAAGACCTTGTGTAGAACATAGCCAACCAATTTCAGTCAAGTTTTGTGAAGTGATTCTGTGAAATAAATAAATAACCTGTCTCATCCAGTAACTGTTACTGCTGTCTTGAATGAATTCTGCTTTGCAGTTGGCCCCCCGTATTGTCTGCATTTTCGTGTAAAGTTTTACTCATCAGAGCCCAACAATCTACGTGAAGAGCTAACAAGGTAAGAGGGATTTTGTGTGAGAGGGGCACCCAAGTAAGGCCAGGGAAATGTTTTCCCTGGTATGTATTTAAACAATTTGGAGAATTCTTTAGAACTGCTTGCTTACTTGGCTTTTTGTAAATGTAGTTTTCTTTTTATAAAGTGTCTATTTTGTGTGTGGAAATAAATGTGCAGTGACAAAGAGAGAGAGCTAAATATTAATATATTACTTAATGCACCATTTTTCTTGGGCAATTTTGGCAACTGAGTAGCTTATACCAAATGGACAGAGGTTTTCACTGAAGAGAGCAGACATCATTCCTCTGTTTTTATTTTTCTGAAGCTGTTAGTTTGAATTGCATGCAATCATCCTGTCTCCAGGCAGAAAAGCATTGAATTGCAAGTTAGAGGTTCTCTTTGAAAAAAGGAAATTCAGTTAGCATTTCATTGCATGTGTGGTCTTCAAAGAGCTTATGGAAAGGGAAAGTAGTATTTTATTGCCATGTTGAGCCGAGTTGACACTACTATAGGTGTAGGTTAGTAGAATCAGGTGGGCAGCAGTTCCTCTCAATTAAAGCATTTCACAATCCATTCATAGAACTGCATTTCCAAATGGGCTGAGACTACTGGGGTGCTTTGAAAAACAGCACAACCTGTCAGGAGTATAAATCTGTTGTAAAAGGACATTTCCTTGCATTGTTACCACTGCTGCTGATCCCTTTTGGAGGGTAAACAAAGTTATAGTTTCATGATAGCTGTAGACATTTCATACCTCAGCTGTTTGTAAGGCTGTGAAGTGCATTTGTTTGTTCTTCAGGTTTATGTGGATCTTCAATCTGCACTTTAGCCAAATCCCTTGGAGTGCTACCAGGAAGATTATAGTAGCATTACCCCTTCCAGCCATATGTACCCTGTGCAGCTTCATATTTACATGTGGTAACATAATGTGGTAACTGCTGCTTTTTCATGCTTTCCTGCTGATCTGGGTAGAATGTTTTACCTCCTCATTCATGTTCCCAAATAAACATTTAACTATCTTTAAAACCAGCAACTGTAGACAAAATTGAGACCTATATTTGTATGTATGGAATTTTTTCATCCATTTTGACTTGAGTTCTGCCTTGCTGTGCAGGTTTTAGTGGGGCAGGCCTGAAACCTGACGGCTTTAAACACTGTCTGCCTGTTTAGCTAATCCTCCAGAACAGGAGAGCAGCAAGTTGTCCTTCTGTCTTGAGACAGTGTGACACCTTAAGGTAGCAGAAGCAGTGGGAAGCAGAGCTTTGTCATGGGTTATAGGTGTCACTGGCAGGGGCTTTCCCAGGGTTCCACCTTTAAACAGCAGGACACCCAGCTGGAGCTGCTTTTCAGCTTCCACAGGTGCAGCTTGCTCATGTTCTCAGCCAGTGGTCATGGGAAGTGCTTGAATTGTTTGGAAGTGTTATGTGCCTCATGAGCACAGACTGGTCACACCCACTACACACTGGGGGCCTGTGTTCATTTTCATATCTGGGGTCAGTACCAACCAAATTTATTCCCCATGCAGAGGCTAGTGTTCAAAAGGTTTTGGTTAATAAATGGTTTGGCAAAGTATTTGTGGACTTCTGTGGAACCTGTAGGAAAAACACCTGCACCTCTTCTGTGTCTTTGTATGAAAGTGTGAGGAGACACTGGCAAATGTTGATGCAGAAGTTGTGTTTAAGGTTTCTGGGAATCTGTGCTAGAATTCAGACTGGATACCACAGTGGATGCTAGTGTTTTATACTCGATGAGACCTCTTCTCTTGTTAAAGGAAAGCTGTGGACCATAATGGAGTGAGGGGGCTGCTCTTCAGGGGTATTGACTCAGAAGACTTGGTATTGCACAGCAGAGGGATTTATAGTCAATATTTGCCCCATTTCTAAGCAGAAAGAGTAGAGAATATGCAAGGCAGTGAAGGAAAGCTGGCTCTAAAGAGTAAATGAGTTGAAAAGGCTGCAGCCTGCTGTTTATTTTTAGTCACTTTGCAGTCAGCGTTCCAGGTTAGATTTTAACTAAGCAATCCATAGTAGAAGTTCTTTTTTTAAGACTTAAAAATAACCATTTTTTAATGAGGTTGGTATGTACATGAATAATGAAGGAAATGTGGAATAATGAAGGAATGTGTTCTTTGCTCAAGTAGAATCAGACGAAAATAAAAAATATATTTACTTGGATATCCTGTTTATTTTTCCATTCAATGCTGTGGTTCAGCTTTTGACAACTTATACTTTTGGGTTTGCTTCATTTGAAATGCCTGCAAAACACACAAACCTACTGATAAAGCCTTGAAAGGTCACAGTAAAGTTTCTTTCATCTTGAAAATCCATGTTAAGAGTAGAAAACATTTTTAGTTGTCAAGCTCTAACTTACTCCTGTTGACTGAGTGACACATTAGCACTATTACTCAATGACTTATTTCTTATTTAATCCTACAGGTATTTATTTGTTCTGCAGCTGAAACTGGATATTCTTAGTGGAAAGTAAGCAGCATTTTAAACTATTACAGTGTGTTTTGCATAGAGTTTATTACATTTATATTTGGATAATTAATAAATTTTGCTTCGTAATGTAATGGGGTTTTTTTTCTTCAAAATACTACTTTTCTGTGCATGAATATCAGGAGAGGAATGCTTAAATAATGTAGTGCTTATCTCCTCATAATTTTCTGAAAATCTACCAAAACTTTTTCATTTTCTTATCCTGGACATTTGCAGTTCCTTACTGTCAGTTACATAAATTATCTGCTAATGATGTCAGTTCAGGTTTTAACAATGCATTTCTCTTCTGGCAGATTGGAATGTCCTTTTGACACCGCTGTCCAGTTGGCAGCTTATAACATGCAAGGTGAGTAGGTGCAAGAAGGGAAGGGTGAAGTTGCACAAACAGTTTTGTGTAGACTCTTATTAACTGTTTAAAAACGTCTGTCCTTGTTATGTCCATAAAATAGACTCTGCCCAGACATTAGTGATCCAGTGTGAATGCAGATCTTTTAGATTGTACTTGTGCTTGAAAGTATGTGCAGAAAATTACTCAGTTCCTCAGGAAAGAGAACAAGGAGGTTCTGAACATAAACAGCTTTACCCTAAAGTTGTTTCCTTATGTGCAAATCTGTCCCCTTTCACAGAAGATACGAGGCCTGCAGGCTTCTTGAATCACTTTGATGTAGTAACACAGCTCACTTCTTTTTCATCATATAGGTTCTGTCAGGTGTTGTCTTTGTTGTCCAAATCTGATACAAAATTGGTTTTGTTTGCACTGTGTATAAAATACCAGCTTTTGACTTCATCTTATTTGTAGGAACATCTTAATGCCTTGTGTCTCATGCTCATGCTTCAGCGTTCTGGGTTGAACTACACTTGCTGGTATTTCAGATCATCCTTCAGCCATGTGACATACTCTTTTATGCTCAGCTATACAGCACTGTGTTTGAGTCATCTGAGATTTTATTAATCAATGTCTTTAACTTTTGATTCCAGATGAGAATGTGGTGTTTGGGTGAGGGTGTAACGTTAACAAATGTGAAGTTTCCTATGGTTTCAAGCAGAGGAGCTCTCAAAAGAAAGAGGGGAGGCTTGAAGTTTTAAAAATACCTGCTAGAGTAGGATTTTGGGTCCTTATTGGAGGATATAGATGTATGGATAGATGGCCTTATTCAAGCCAATTGATATATATGTGTTTGAGCCACACAAATTCTCTACACAACTTACATCTTATGAATCCATTGCACTTACTCTGCATGAGGTAGGACTAAGTCACTGAAATTTGTTGTCTTACAAGTATTTTTCAAAACACTTTCTTTTTTTCATGCAGTAGGTGCTAATGCTCCTAAGTCATATGTAGGTATAAGAGTTGGAATTAAACTGTGAAGACACTTGCCTTTTTAACCTGCTCTTTTGTGTGGAAGGAAAGCAGTTAGAATACATTCCACAGTTAAAAATATTAGCATTGTTAGGGCCTGAAGATACAGGTTCAGTAAATAAGATTTTGGAAGAACAAAGTGATCTTATTAGGCCATATATCCACTGCTTTTTGTGGTGGTCTTTTCTTTCCTCTTTCCACAATGAGGCCTGTAGCAGGGCTTTAATCATACTGTCTGACAGCTGTGTACTCTTATTTAAATCAGCTGGAACCTAAGCTGGCTTTGACAGCATTCCTTTGAACAGAGGCAGGCATTTTAGTGGGAGTAAATTATTATAGAACTACAGACTTCCTCAGTCAGCATTAAAAAAAAAAAAAAAAAAAAAAAAAAAAGAAAAAGGAGGGGGTGAAAAGACTGTTATTATGCTTGCAGCCTTCAGAATCCAAGAAATTGAGTTTTATATCATGTAGCATTTCTATACCTGTGGAATACTAGCATTTATTTGACTTTGCCATGTCTTCCCAGTGATTTCTCTATTTTTCTCTACATAAACATCTGTAGTTTCATTTTTCAGACAGCAATTATTTCCCTGCATCAGACTTCCAAAGTCCAAGTTACAGAAATATTCCTAATTTTCTGACTATGAGCTGGACGTTACAAGCCAACTTGAAATTAGTAGGAGGAGCCAGTGCTTAGTGACTCTGAAAACCAGTACATTTTTGTAAAGGCTTGTAATTGTCAGTTTCAGCATTTTAGGTATTTATCTGTCTTTAAAACTGGACTTGTTAGCATCTTTGGGAGATGGAGTTGTGGTTTTGATGTGGCACACCCCTTGACTGGTATGTTCCTGTATGTTTTTTACATAGCATCTCTTACTGCCCCCCTGAGCATGCAGCAGTGGACTCGATGAGCCATTTGACTGATCCAGGAGAGCATTTATTATGTCCTTAGATGAAAAGGAGAGTAACAAATAACAGCTGCATGATTGTGCCCTGAAACAGAGTAATTTTAGCAGGCAGGACAGGGCACTATAGAATCATAAAACCAGAAACTGACTTGTAGACTGGACAAATAGTTTCATGGAAAGAGTCAGAACTGATTTTGCTTTTTATAAATCTCAAGAGATATTGCTTTAATACTTTAAGGCAAAATTCCGTTGTAACATTAGTTAGCTGTCATCTCAGTAGATACCTCAGTGATAAAGATGTTGAAAACGCTCTGCAAGAAAGAAGAAAGGTGAGTTTCAACGATGGTGATAATTTCCCTTTATAGGAAGCTTTTTAAGGAATATGTCAACAATACTTTGTAAACATTAGCACAAAACTTTGGTGCAGACAACACAACCAGTTGTTCAGTGTCCATAATTTCCCTGTCAAAAACGGTGAAGGGAGACCTGGAGGAGGAGAAGGAGCACAAAAAGATATTTAATGTTTTAGACTAACTTGAAAAGTGTGCAGAAATTCTTCTGTATGCAGAAATATCCGCAGTGTTTATTGAGAACAGTGCCTAACAGTGTTGTTCTTTTGTAGCTGAACTTGGAGACTATGATCCTGCTGAACACGTCCCTGAGCTGGTGTCTGAGTTCAGGTTTGTTCCCACTCAGACTGAAGAGATGGAATTAGCTGTTTTTGAGAAGTGGAAGGAATGCAGGTACTAAATCTTCCAGTGAATGCTATCCAGCTGTTTGCACTGATTTTTCTGTGAAGAGAATTTATTAAAAAGATATTGCTGATGCTTCTTCTGTGGCCTTGTTCAGAAATAGAACTTTAATATGGTTCTGTACTATTTTGTAAAAGAATATAATGTAATAAATTAAGCTTTTCAAAGGTCTGAGTAAAATTACAAGGTACCAAATCTTGAAACGGTAATTTTTGCAGCAGCATTTTCAGATTAAAATTTTAATAAGTGACCTTGATCTTTAATAAAGTAAACAGGTGTCACAAGTATTTATGTTTTTCACAAACTTTCAGTAAGTTCTTTTCCTCTTTCCTCATTTACCAGTTTTTCCTTTCTGTGCTTTTTCAGGCACCTACCTAACAGCAAAAATTTTATTTCAGGGGCCAAACACCAGCACAGGCTGAAACAAACTACTTAAACAAAGCTAAGTGGCTGGAAATGTATGGTGTAGACATGCACATAGTCAAGGTATGTTTAACCACAGTATGGTGACCTTTGGAAAATAGAGTGTTAGTTTTGTGTTGCCTTTACACACTGGTCCTGCTTTGAGGGGAGGAAAGAAAAGGAATATTGTTCTCATGCAATCTATATAGTAAGGAATCTGGCTTTATGCCAGCATTCCACTCTTTGGTGTATACTTCTAGAAGGTAACACTTGAGTCCAAGCATTTCTGCTCTATGTTAAATGTGTAATTGATGTAGAAGTATATACTACAGCTTGTATTTCACCTTAGGAGTTTTGTGAAAAATCACACTAATTCAGATTTGTTGGGGTGTAGTTCTGTGGAGATGCAAGTGCAGCACATGCATAAGGATGTCTTTATTACACAGGCAAATCAAGAAAAGTTAGTCAGCCTTATTGAAGGGTTGCAAACAAGAAAAATCCATTGCATAAGATCATCAAAACACAAGAGTTTTGTTGTATAAGATAGCAGATAAGTGTGTAATTATAACACTGGGCAAACAAACTACATGAATCACTCTAGTAAACTGGATAGAGGGTCAAACACCAAAATTAATAAAATTTTTATTTTGTGGCACTTAGGCAAGAGATGGCAATGATTACAGCCTGGGACTAACACCTACAGGGGTTCTTGTCTTTGAAGGAGACACAAAGATTGGTTTGTTTTTCTGGTAAGCTCTCTGACTGTACACTAAAATCTGTTTTTGATTTTGGTTCTTTGGTTTCTTTTATGATAGCAAAAAAAAATTATTTAGGTTGTGAGAACACCGTGAATATGAGGTACTTTCTCAGTAAGTTACTGAAGTTAGACGTAACCTGCACTTTCTGTTCATCTGACAGGCCAAAGATAACAAGGCTTGACTTCAAGAAGAACAAACTCACTCTGGTTGTTGTTGAAGATGATGAACAGGTAGATAAATATCTGTTTAGTTACATCTCAGTCTTGATTATACAGTACTGGTTTACATCTAATCTTTCCTTATATTTAAGTTTTGATGTGGATGCCCGAAAGATTTGTGATTGTGACTTGGGTGGGGAAGAGAGAAACGAAGAGACTTAAGTAAAAGATAAATTTTTCTGTCATCCATTTTTTAAAAAGAGAATTCCTGGTGAAACTAGAGCAGGTACTTTGGAAACAGCGTGCATTGTGCAAGAAGGTTTAAAAAAAAATCCCACATACCACACTTAGTAGAATTAATTACTTAAGCAGGTTTCAGAGTTGTTTCTATGGGGAAGAAATTGCATACCCCTGAGACAATTAAAAAGTGAGCATTGGTAATTTGAGAAGATTAGATTTAGAAGTGAAACCATGTTAGCCTCATCAACAAGTACCTTCATGTTGTAATAGTATCTGTAATTTGTAGTTATTCAGAGGTTTGGCTTGTTAAGTTTATGGACTCCAGCCTTTTCCAGCTTTAGACGATACAGCAGTTCATTATAGCTTCCAAAAAGGTTGATTTTCCTGCCTAAAGCATTTTTTTAAATATATATATATTAGGAATCATAAAAAGCAAATTTATATGGTTTGCATGGAATTTTAGCTTTGACTTACTCAAGCCCTTTGTAAGTCGTCAGTGTGCTTTGTGTGCTTTAAGGGAAAGGAGCAGGAGCACACTTTTGTCTTTAGACTGGATCACCCCAAAGCCTGCAAACACTTGTGGAAATGTGCAGTGGAGCACCACGCCTTCTTCCGCCTGCGGGGGCCTGTCCAGAAAAGCTCCAGTCGCTCTGGCTTCATTCGCCTGGGGTCTCGCTTCCGATACAGGTCAGTGGTGCTGTCATTCAGCACACACCCCTGGCATGCCGTGCTCTTCCTGCATGCTGGGTGTTAGTCCCATCGTCAGCTTTCTCTGGGACTTTTGGCAGTATTTGTTTATTCTCTTGTAGAATTTTCAGCTTCTCCCAGAACTCATGCAGTGGGATCACAGAAATATCTAAAGGGCAGACATGCTTTTAGCAACAACTTAATGTTTAAAAAGTTGTTGCTTCTGCTATTTGTCTTGGGGAAATGGGTGAAGAACAGAAATGTTTCTAAAGCTCCAACGTTCTTTTGTGAAAGGTCTTTTGAGGTGTGAAGTTTGAGATTTTTTTTTTAGAACTGATAATGAATTTAAAATGAGTGTGATGTTTTTATGAACTTTATCTCTATTCCGTCATTAAAAATAAGTGATTTATTTTACTGCTTTGCACTCTTACATGGCAATTTTAGTGGGAAAACAGAATATCAAACCACAAAGACCAACAAAGCCAGGAGATCAGCATCCTTTGAAAGAAGGCCCAGCAAGAGATACTCAAGACGAACCCTGCAAATGAAAGGTAAAAGAACTTCCATTCTGAGAAGTATAATCCAATGTGAGAATCAGGCAATTATCTCCTTTAAAATTTCCGGGTAGGAATTCTCCTGTAGTTGTTTGCCCTTCTCTTGAATTTTCAAAAATAAGTTTTCTTTGACTTAGGTAAGAGACCTCATGTATTTATCAGATAAAGCTTGTGTCCAAAGCAAGTCGAAGCCAGCCTGCCCATGAAAATTACACAGTAGGTCTTGGTATGAAGATGGAAAAGTTGGGCCCAGGAAACACTGATCTATTAATTACAGTATTTTAAATTTATTAATTAAGTTCTAAATTTTTGTCATTTAGATTTTTTTCATTGTTGTTAGGAGCTTCACTTTGTTGTCATGATCTGACAGCAGCTGATATCTTGTTTCTGACTCCCACTCTTGCATAGGTCATTTGCCTTCAGATACTTGCTTAAATCTAGCTTTGGTTTGCTCTTCAGATTTTTTAATTTTATTTTCCAATTTAGATTTTGTTTATCACACATTATACATTAGATCTGTGCAACTTTTGGTCTTGGTTCAACTTTTGCTCTTTTGGTTGCCTACTTTTAGGCAGTCCTACGCTATTTTTATTAATCATATAATTAATATTTCACTAATAACCTAATTATAAATTAAATTTTAATTAATTCTTTTTATTTTTGCAGCATATACTGCTAAACTGGAAGAAACAAGGTAAGATTCATTCCAGTGTTTGAATTTGTCTTTGGTGTTTGGCACCTGTACTTGAGGACATGTCTGCAGAAGGAGGATATGGTGTTGGACTCTTAGCTGTGGTTTTGCTGTGGGTATTGTTTGTTTTATATAAAAGTTAGTGTTCATAGCCAAGTTTCTGTGTTGCTGTCACACAGACAATTTTGCCAGACTTGCTTACTAGCTAGCAAAGAAGTTTATTTATTATTAGCTATGATTCTTGCTGGATATGAGCTGTAGTTCATGTGCTGCCATGTAAAGAGATCAGGTAAAAGTTTGTGAGGAGGTCTTGTATGTATTACACTTGCATTTCTTTTTATGCATGATCAGTATTGAAAGTGAAGCCTTTTGGTTCTTTATTTCTCTACCAAAAGTCTTCCTGGATGTGTAGGTTCATACTTGCTCTTGCCATGTAAATAGCTCATATGTATCTGAATCATATAATTTTCATACCCTTCCTTAAGGGAAGAGAGGAAATCAGGTTAAAAGGAAGTGCCTGGTAGTGAAGAAACTTAAGTCACTCAGTTCTGGCTTCTGTCCTTTGCCTTAATAACTTGTGAACGCTTCAATGCTCAGTTGCAACCAAATTATTTTTTAAAAAGTAGATATTAAGCACAATGATGAGAAGCATGGAATGCCAAAATAACTTTTCAGAACAACAGACTTAATGCAGCCCAACATGTTCAGTCTGTAGTAGCAGAGCTGGTTCTTGCATGAGAGCGGGAGAAGTCTCAAAGTGTGGGGACAAGGCTGCAGTGTGACTTCTGTATTGTTTTTTCTTTCTATACAGTGGGAAAGTACTCTGCAAAACTGGGTGTCATTAAGATCCTCTGCATGCAAAATGTGACTGTTTGATTAGTGCTCTGTGTTGTCATGCCCTTCTCAGAGTTTCAAGTTGCTTAGGTCATTCTGAGAGTGGGAAGAGAAACTTCATGTGCAGTTTCTTCTCCTGATAAGACTGCAGTCTCCTGATCTGCACTTAGGTGTGGCACTGTTGTGTCTCCACAGCAAGCTATGCCATTTCTGAAACTCTACACTCCTGTGTTGCTAATTGAAATGCATCATGAAAGATGTATGTTGTTCCCTTCTTTTGTGTTAACCCAGCACAGGAGAATGTGCTAGTCAGAAGGCATTCCTTAATATTTCTGAGAATTCTGGGGTAGCCTCCACATTCACTCAACAGAGAAAGGGTGAAGGGGGAAACAGGCAAGGAACAGCTTGTTCAGTGTTGATATGGTGTTTTAAATAAAATAATTCTAGATTCACTGAAGTAAATGCAGATATCTGTTTGAATTGTCACCTTGCCAGGTTGGATAGCTGTTGTCCAGACAATAATCAGAAAATTAAAAAGTTGTAAGAGATGGGAACCTATTTTAAAAGGCTAAAAGTTTGGGAGAAAAGTTTGCTTTGCATGAAATCTATGATGCATAATTACTGCTTTTAAGTCTCTTGAAAATGTGAAATGTCTCTTGCAGATTCAGAAATCATCAAGAATAGGCATATGGGTCTTGTTTAATTCATCAAATATAGTAAATATTTAATAACATAAATTATTATTAATGCGGTGCTGAGTTGCTGTGCATGTAAATTTGAATAGCTGCTTTTAAGTCCATTAGAGGTTGTATGTAGAAGAAACTCTTTAATTTTTCTGATAAACTCTTGTGATATGAAACATCAAATCAGGAGGGTTCTAGTTATGGAACAGGCATAATATCTACAGCATGTGGGTGAGCTTTTGACAATGTCTCATTTTGCTGGGTGTTTTTAACTAAAATTATATAATTTTTGCTTTAGAATTGCCACATCTTACTGCTGAATCAGGAAGACTTTTTAAACCAAACTGCTTTAGGAAAGGAAGAGTTAAAAACAGATGAGTTACAGATAAACTACAGCTAGAACAAAGAAAACATAACTTGATACCCTTTGTGAAAAGAGATTTATACTTTGGAAATATATTAGACTCTATTTCTTTCTGAAAGTCCTTACAGTTCTGCCAGCCTGCAAAAGCAGTTTGTTGATCTGATTCAGTTTTAAATTCTTCTTTCAGTGCTGCAAACAATGCTGTTATCAGCCAAACTAATGGATCACAAGTAAGGACTCTCTTTCATTCTTTCTAAAGGCAATTTTCACGTGTCTTAACAGATTTGAAGATTTTGTTATTTGTTCTTGAAATCCAGTGATTGACCAATTGAGTGTTACAGTTAACTGTGTACAGTGCTGGGAAAGACTGGGCATAGACATGCAGTGCTAGGGAAGAAAATGGCCTTGCTCTAGCTTTGTGCTTAAGAAGAAGTGTTGATATGTTTTCTTCACTGTAATGTGTCATCACTTCATTAATGTGTATATAATAACTTGTTTATATTCTGTCTCTAAAGAACTGGAATGCAAAGCCAAACCTACCTGTCCTAACAGCGGTTCCTTCTGCGCCAGTCTTAGTGGAAATAGAAAACCTCCCAAGGAGCCCAGGAGCCAGCCAGCAAGATAAGAAGTGGTATGTTAAGCTTTGCTGGGAAATGCATTTTGATTACTTATGCATGATTCAAGTAGCTTTTCCTTTATCTGTGCTTAAATAAGCTGCCATTCTTGTATCTCTAATGTAAGTTGACAATCAAGTTAGGAATGATGCAGCTGATTTCTTCTTATGAATTGTGTGTGGAGAGGTAAGGACAACAGGCTTAGTCACTGCCAACCAAAAGAAAATTTCTTCAGGGACTAAAGGAATTAAGGAGTAGAATTTTCAAATCTTGGAGAGAGTTGAGTCCTTCTCATTTGCTATAAGCTTGTAACCCTTTGCTTGTTGTCGTGGTGTCCAAGGACTTAACCTTGATCCTTAGGGTAATACAGAACTTTGTAAACTTGTATCCTGGTGAATTGTCTTTTGAACTTTCTGAAATAGGCAAGCTGACTTTTCTCATGAGCTTGTGTAGAATGGGAGCTTGGGGAAAATGACACAAGCTGAAGATAAGAGCTTTGATTTCAATGTAATCAGAGTATTTGTTTTATGGATTAGATGCATCTCAAAATGAAGAGGATTTGTTTGAAGATAGATAAATGTACATGTCATTTCTCTCTTTTAAACTAATTCTATATTGCAAAGTTATTTTCAAACCAAAACTGGCATATATCAATGCAGTACTTGTGCACAGATAATTTTAATATCTTTGGCTTCTCGTGCCTATGCCTTATCCAAGAAGGGAAATTCTGGCTTCTGCCAAACTCATCAGGAGCAGTCATGGTAGAATGGAGTGACACCAAAGCTCTTATCCTAAGCAGTTTCAACCCTCAAGAGAAAGGGTCTTTCTCCCATTGTCAGGCATATGAATCTTTGCTTCAGTATCTCTTACAAGTAGATGGTGTCTGTTTCTAACAGTGGTGTGACAAATGTAATTTTGTAAACTGTATAATTTAAAGACTTTTAATACTATCAATTTTGAATGATAAAGGGGATGGTAATTCTGCTTTGAGTTGCATTTTATTGACATTTCAATCAGAACATATGATGATAAATGCTGTTTTTCTTTCTTTTGCCCTTGATTTATCTAGTATCTGAAATCTGTGCTTGTCTATGGTGGGATCCTGTTGATCGCTCGATTCCTTCCATGGTGGTGGGTGAAAGGTGGTGGCATCTTTATTCTTCAGCATTCTCAATATGGTTTTATTTTTATTCTTTTGGCCTAATTGCAAGATGAGCGCTACTCACCTGTATTTCCTTTGGTGGAAATGTTTGACTTGGCTTCAGACCAGCTCTTCTTGGGTACCTGATTTGTGCTACTGTTCCTACTCGTGTTTGCAAGGCTGCTGCTGCTTACTGAAATCCTGCTGCTTTGGTTCTGAAGCAGAGAGGGCTCAATAGCCATTCAGTTTTGGGTTTGTTATGCCTGTTTTTAGGATTGAGAACTTGAGCCTGTCTGTCTTAACATTGTCCAGGAAACTCGGCTTACATGCCAGCTGCTGCAGGATGTAGTGTTTGTATAGAAGAATGGGAAGTGAATGTGAAATACACCTGCATGTAACCCAAAACAGTGTGTCCTAAAGAAAACAATCTTCTTTGCAACTGATGCATTTTAATTGAGAGTGCATTGCTTCTACTGTGTCTGTGTTAAATTTCTTTGAGGCATTGCTAGTGAAAGTAGTTGCCTTCTGGTTTTGCTGTGTTCACTGGAAACAGTATTGCCTGTACCCAGGGCAAATCCTGCTGTAAGAAAAAGACAACAGTTTGGAGCTGAGTCAGGAATTGAGCTACATTCTGGTTTCCTAGATGGGAGGTGGGGTTAGGTTAATGGAATTGCCAGAACATACATATTTATTGCTGAGGGCTGTGACTTGGCTGTTGTGCCTGCAAGGGTGTCTCCGGGCTGCTAACAAGATCTGCTTTCAACTGCTACTGTCTGTAATTGGCCTGTTTCTGCATGAACTATCTTTGCTTTCTGTCAGAAAAATAGTCTTCTTTTAGAGAGAGCTTGCCAAAGATTGTTGAGAAAACCAAAATCATCTGGACTATGGATTTTGTGGATAGTTAGATTGAAGGGGTTTAGAAGTAAGGTCCCGACCTCCTGGATTTCTGTGCTCTGCTTGGCAGATGCCTCTATTGGCTACCTTGCAGCTTAGATCCCTTCCTAATGTCAGTGTTTCCTTTAATTTAAAATGTTAATGCTGCAGCTGCCAACAGCAATTTTGCCAGATTGTAGAAAGTACTTTGCCAGATACAAAGGATTTTATTATTTCTGGGATATGGTTTTGGATTGGGTGGTTTTTTTACTTCATTGCTATAAAATTGTCAGTACAGAAAAGCTGTACTGGTCTGCAGGATCTGAAAATGGTCTGGAATATTTGTTGCAAGTCTGGAAACACTAAAACATGATCAGTGTCTTTCTAAGTTTAGTCTTTCCTCAAGAAGCTCCTTTTTGCTAAGTTAGAACAGCAGACATTTAATATTTACTTCCTTATTGTAGGATAAGTAGGGAAGTAGGGTATTTTTTTGTTCGGTTTTTTTTTTTTGTTTGTTTGTTTTGGGGGATTTTTTTTTTGTTTTGTTTTTGCTAGTGGATGTAGCTTTCCCTTAAAGACATCCATGAGAGAAATGGTAAAGGAATGAACTGCTGGGGATTGGAGCCCTCAGTATTCACGGGTCACTTCCTCAGTGTATTTTACAAAAACCAAAATTCTGAATTTACACATGGGTGATCTTTGTATAAATCCTGTTTCTTTTCTAAAGGAGGACTATCCCCAAATGTTAATCATCTACCACTGTTGTGAATCCTGCATGCTTTTCTGCTTGCCTGCCTTAACACGTGTGATCTTCCAACTCAGCTGTCTGCTTGGCTGTTCTGGAACATGAGAAGGTGGAATTTGAGCTGAAGGCCATCTGACCCCTCTATGTGAACAGCAACAATCCTTCCACTTTGTTTAGATTTGGCTCATTAAATCGAATCTTTTGCATTAAACTGAAGGAATACCTTTGAGGAATTTCCTTACTTGAGTAGTTTATGAAGTGCCTTTTTCCAAGCACTTTTTTGATCTATGACTGTACCTTTTATCAGCCTCTCGTAAAACATAGCAGTGAAGGACCCTAGTGCTACACAGACAACAGTTAACAGATCATTGTCCATTTAAAACTATTTTAAATTTTGGCTTTTGGCTTAATTGCTTATCCCTGCTGCTTTGGAGATATTTGTGCCTAAAGCCTTCCAGGGACTCCTGTAAAAGAATATTTTTCAAAAGACTTAACACAGTGATGTGTGTTCTCCCTTGCAACTCTTTCTAGCTTTTGGAGGACTTCATACCAACTATGGCAAAGAGTGGCCATAACTGTGCACAGCACTTCTATGGGTTTGATTTTAGGAACTCCAAATTTAAAATTTACAAACCATTATGCTTTCATATGCAAAATTAGAAAGTGAGGTCTTAGTTTGTGTTGTGACCTTTTATAAAATGGTTCTTTTCCAGCTAAATTTTTCTGTTAATGCAAGTTATAGCTGCAGGCAACTTCTTCAGTAGTATTAATCCCTTAGTCACCTGAATTGTGGATGATTTGTTTGCTTTACTGTTTGCTCCTGCACAGTGATGTTCACTTTTCTGAGCTTCTATTTTCTTCTCCTTTTTTTTTAAATTTACTTTAGAATCTGCACTTTCCAATCACTTTGAAAACTGGTATTGCTGTAGATGTTTGCTTCAGGTGTACATTTAGACCTGCCACTTAAACTTGCTTTCTGCAAATAAAATGTACTGTGTGCTTGAGGTCTGTTCCTCATTCACATTATTTTCTCCCACCTGTAAAGCGCACATTGCTTAGTAATGTGAAGTGCTTTGAAATATGAAGTGCTTTACATTTGGGAAGTGTAAGCAACATACACGAGAGAGCTGAACTTGTCGATTCGGACTTGTACAGAAACGTGAGCGATGCTGTGCAGAAGGGGTTTGTTTGGCAGTGTCATCGTGTGCATGTCTACTCGCATGCCTCTTCACTATTTCCCTTCCAGGAATGCCCCTTTTCCTGTCTTTTCGCATCAATCTTCCTGTCCTCACCTTTGCTGTACTTCTCCACGCTGTTCCCCGTCGGTGCCCCTGACTAACTGTGCGCCTCCCGCTCCCCACCGCTGCAGGGCCCCCGACGCCGCCGGCCGCTGTCAGCGCGGTGGAGCCCCGGCCGGACCGTGCCCCGCGCCCGCCCGCCAGCTCCGGGCTCCGGGCGCTGCCCGCGCTCCGCCCGCCGGCACCGCTCTGTGACGGGCCCCGGCTGCTGCCCGCCGGCACCGCTCTGTGACGGGGCTCCGGCTGCTGCCCGCCGGCACCGCCCTGTGACGGGGCTCCGGCTGCTGCCCGCCGGCACCGCCCTGTGACGGGGCTCCGGCTGCTGCCCGCCGGCACCGCTCTGTGACGGGGCCCCGGCTGCTGCCCGCCGGCACCGCTCTGTGACGGGCCCCGGCTGCTGCCCGCCGGCACCGCCCTGTGACGGGGCTCCGGCTGCTGCCCGCCGGCACCGCTCTGTGACGGGCCCCGGCTGCTGCCCGCCGGCACCGCTCTGTGACGGGGCCCCGGCTGCTGCCCGCCGGCACCGCTCTGTGACGGGGCCCCGGCTGCTGCCCGCCGGCACCGCTCTGTGACGGGGCTCCGGCTGCTGCCCGCCTCGGGCCGCCACACCGCCTCCTGAGCTCCCGCCGCGATAAGGACAACGGACCCAGCTGACTGTGGAGGGGCAGAAGCTTTTATTGCAAAGGCTCTGCAGATTGTGCTGTTGGTATCGAGTCTTTAAAGAAAAACGACACGTAGATCAGAAGCCACACATCACTCTTACTTTATATCTATCTATTTGTGCATATAGATAGATATATTTTTAAATTGTGTTAAAGGTTTTCTTAATGACTGAAAGATTCATTTTTTTAGCTGGGGTTTGAGAGCCATGCAGGAAGTCACATTTGTTGTAAAACTACATATGCAACTAGCGGGTTATAATATGGTTTCAAAAGTCTAAGAGAAATAAGGATGTAACCGGCCCTTTTGAACCATGGTCATATAAAAATCTCTCAGATATGTGGTTGATCTTAAAACCAACCTTTTTTTTCTTCAATAAGACCTCTTCTGAGAACTGTTGTTTGGAAATGCAATAGAATTATTTTCAATTTTTAAAAAATAAATTTAGCAGAACTGTCAAAAAGGCAAAGAGTAATTTATTTAATAATTTTTTTTCTTTCTTTTTTGCTTTTCTGGTCCAGTTGAAAAGAAACAGAAATATTTCCTGACAAACACCAGTCCTACCATATGATTCACAAGGTTAATTGTTAAGTCAGAGGTTAAGACTCCAGCTTCATGGGTCGTTGGTATTCTTGGGGGCCTTTAACAGCATGAAGAGCAAACCTTTACCCTTGAACACGCTGTGTTTTCTTGTGTTTTCTGAAGTTTGTTGCTTTTAAATTGCAATATTCTTTTCCTATTAAAAAAAAAGTGGAAAAGTTGTAACAGAGGGCTTTTAAGTTAATTTATATGTAGCTTCTAGGATAAAGGAAATGTTTGAATGATTTTCAAATTATTTCACTATATTTCAAATTGTCACAGAGCCCAGAAATAAAAAACGATTGTTTTCAGATATCCAGACCTGAAGAACCAAGAAGCAAGTGTCAGCCAGGACATAACTTAATATTGCCGGAGATACTTTGGCCTCCTCAGCTCCACATCTGATGGGGGGAAGAGTTTGCTAATGAAATACGAGTCTTTATTTTACAACACTGCTTAAAAACAAAGTATGAACAAGCTGTAAACTGAAGATCTGTGACACCTATCAAGCTGATTGGAACAATCTCTTGTGCTCTTTTTAGTTTTAGGTTTGGAATGGTGGATGATGTAAACTTCGGGAGTGAAGCAAACCCATTTGTTTTTTTCTTATTTATAAAGTTGCATGAGAATATGCAAACAAAAATAAGATGTTTAACTTTACAATATCCTTTAACGTCTGTGTAGTTGAGGGAGAAAAAAACAATGTGGCTCACACCACTTGTAACTGAGAGCTTTCTCAGTCACGTTATACATTGAATGCTGTGTGATACATGTTTATACCAATATATGGCCAGGCAAAAAGGAGTAATGCAGTAGCTACTCCTTTAACTGTGTGAGCTCCCTGAGCATGTAGTGACTTATTAATGGGTTGACCAACCTTTTTATTCATTACAACCCTTCATTATTCCTATATTCATAATTATTTATGTGGCTTGAATTCCTGGTATCTTTTATCAGCATTTCCCAGAGAATATTTATTAAAATATGATGGTAGAAGTTGATTTGAAGACATAAAGCCCAGCGTTTATTACTATGCAAAGTTCAAAATGTCCCTTTGTATGTGGGTAAAGGCCGGTATGTGGAAGGGTAATGCCTGTTCAATTCCTGAGTAGTGGGAGCTGACTGTGTAGAAGCTTCCTGGGAAGCCTTGGACAATTTCCCTTATGGTTGGTGTGCCAGTTCATCAGTACTTCATAAGAGGTGTCAGAAATTCTGTGCAGTGATTCAAGGTTTTGTGCTTCTTGCTTTTGTGGTTGGGCCATTTATGAAGCCTGCCTGGTAGTCTTCCTCCTGGTGCTCTGAAGAGGGTGAAGAGTCTGGGAGACTTCAAAGGTTTTGCTGCTCTTTGGAGAACTCATTCCTGCAAATTCCAGTGGCTGGGGGTCTCCCAAGTATGACTTTCGTCTTGTTGACTGCCTATCTCAGGTGGCTCAGGAGACGGTATGAAGGCAAGATGGGGTCAATTCCTACTTGAAACTTGACTTAGGAGGCTTCCTTGAGTTTATCTAAAATTAATTTTGTTTCCCTGAGGCCCTGTCCCGATGTGGGGTGAAGCTGCAGGGACTCACCCTGGTTGTCTGTGCTGTCCCAACCAGATCTCCATGCCAGGGCACAAATAGCAGTAAGGTTTTTTACAAACTTTGACCATCTCAGTGTAAGCAGTACACAGTTTTTGGATAGTGCACAGCTTTTGGAGTGCACCAGACACTGAGTGTGCTGTTTGAGTATGTTGCCAGATACGAAGACCGCCCTTATCAGTAGTAGGCAAGTTTTTGAATCAGCTCTCTTGTCTGTCTAGTAAATGTTACTGTATAGTCATGAGGAGGCAAAGTCTAGTGTAATTATCCTAGCAATTAAGGAAGAAAATTTTCATTTTTCATGTGTTTTCTCTTGCAATACTAAGAAAGGGAAATTCAAGTACAAGAAGTGTTACTGGTGCTCTACATCACCTGTCTGATGTGGAGTTCATAGCAGCTTATGCCAAGTTCCTTCAAACGGTCATGGTGTCAGCAAGTGCATGCTGTAGGTAAAATCTGAACTTCTTAACATAGTGGTCATATTAAAGATTGGAGACTATTTACAGGAAATTGTCAGAAAATAGGAAGAAAATTGTTGTCTCCATGTGAAGTTTATAAAACATTTTGACTCATATATCAGCAAAGTAAGGGATGGGGTTCAGTCTCATTTTCCTTGTTGCCTATTTGGAAGAGCATCTCTTCCTGTCTATTAGTATTAATTCAAACAATTCAATCTCTATATCCATTATTCCCTCCCTGCAAGACTATGTGCTGTTTGCCTTTTCCCATTAGTGGTGCAGAGAGAGGCTGCACAGGAAGTTGAAAAATTTTCTCTATTATTTGCTTTGCTGGTAGCTTGTTATTCCACTGCTTTAAGAGAATCAAGCCAGTGGCCTCAATTTGCCTCACAGCAATTAATTGACTTAAAATTATTTGTACATTATTAGCACTAGAACAGTGATACCCTGTAATCTGATTCAGAGGTATATATTTAACAGTGAAAGAATTCTTTGTGTGCATGAGCTGAAGGGGAAGGAGTTTTTTCCTGCAGCCTCTGTAGTGACAACAGGGCATTGCTTCCAGGTTCCAGGGGCTGGAGGGGGGCATGAGGCACTAACCTGGCAGTGGTAAGGGAGAAGCTGGTCTAAACTGTCACGTAGGAAACATCTCTTGTCTGTGCTTAAGGGTAGGTTCTGTTCTGTTGGGGTGGGTATCGGCTCGGTATCATTGTTCTCATGTTTGGGACAGGACTTGCAAAAGGGATTGATAGATTTTTTTCTTCTTAAATCAATATTGCAGCCAAACTGTGACTATTGATTGAGAGTGATTGTTGATTGAACTGGGCAGCAGTAAAGCTGCAGTTGTGTGCACAAGCTGTCTGATTAACCATTGCATTGTGCAGCAGTGGTTTCTGTGCTTGTTAGTTTGCTGTTAGGATAGGTTTCGCTGTTCCCAAGCTTTAGAGAAATGTATGAGATTCCTGACTCTTGCTCAACATAAAAATCATAATATCATTTTTGGTTTTATAACTGTTTTTCCTTGTTCATTGAAAATAGAGTTCATAGGGCAAAATTAAATGCAGACATTTCCATCAGAAACCAAGAGAGGTGAAAAACGTGATTCTGACAGAGTACCTGTGATTCACTTAAAGCACTGTGACTGCAAAGGTTTCATTCACAGCTCTGCCCAAGTTAACAGAACTGAAACTGGTTCTAGGTGTGCCTGACCATAAGTGTCAGAGCAGTCCTGTGCAGTGCACCCTTCTGCCCTCTGTTCTGCTTACCAGTGTTGGGTGAAGTGCTGCGCAAACAGCTTTTTGTGATGCCAACTTCCCTCCACCTAACTTTTATTTCTCTCTTGTAAAAATCCTAAAGGGTTCCTTAAGTTGATTAGAAAGACTTCAAATGTTTGTTCCAAAGAGTATATTTCATGGATAAAAAACTTCCCTTCTTCTCTCTTCAGTTTTTCCACTGCTATGTGATGACACAGCAGGCAACACGGACCTAGTCTGTTATGAAGTCTCTTATGAAGTCTTCCCTTTTTCATGTTTCTTAAGCTCTCTGAAAACCATGAAACAGTTTTTCTAAATTGTGGCTGGTCAGCAGAAGACACCTTGAAAAAGATTGCATGTGTTAAAGCTTTTTTTTTATTACAGGAAGAGTGGTAACACAATTGTGCATCTCTCTGCCCATCTTTCTGCCTTTGCAGCATACCTCTTGTTGATTTGCTAGACAGCACAGAGTTGCCAGAAACTTGTGTGGATGATGCCATGGGCCGTCCAGTTGTTGGCTTGGCAACAGGAGATTCAGAAGAGGCTGTTAGCTGCCCTCCTCCTGGCACGAAGGAAATGGCTGCAGACAAAGCAGACTCTGATCGTAAGCAAACTGACAGATTTTCCCATGTTATGATGTGTGAGATCAAGATTAAATAATCAGTTGATATGGAATTGTTTCCTTATGAGAAATGCAGAATTGATTTAGGAAGCTCCCTTAGATTTTATGCATAAGGAGAATTTCACCTATTACTGGAACAGCAAGGAGAGAGATAAGAGTGAAAAGTCAGTTCTTCATTGGATGTGACTTTGTCCACAAATAGAGTGAAGTGCAACCATCTAAGCAATTAACTTTGTGTTCTTGCTCACTGTGAGGATGGCTGGCTAAATGAGCTGCCAGGAGTGCAGAGTGTTCTCGTTTGTGCACACAGTCTGCAGGCTTGAAACCTGCACTGAAGCTGGAGCAAGTAGATCCCCCCTCCCTGTGCATTTTTGCACGACTTCAAAATTATGTAATTGGTATTCAGTAATAATGCAAGTTACAAGTCAGATCGCTCCACAGTAACATTAGGAAGATGATATATTTTTTGTCTTTTTCAGCATTTGAAGACACATTCCTAAAGCAGAAGCAGCTGGAGACAGAGCACAGCAGCCCCGTGCCAACTGAGCGTCCCAACATAAACATAAACGTGCAGGTAACTGGCCTTCACTGGCCTTCCCCTGCTGTGGTCCTCAGTTCTGTTTGGATCATTCTGAAAAGCCTTGCCTTGCTCTGTTTGCAAGATTTCTAAGATGATGAGTGAGTAGTACTGGGGGACAGCAAAGTAAATACAAATGCTTTATGAAATATAAACTTGTGTGTGACAAAGCAATGAGATAAAGATTGGGGCAGAGGTGCATGTGTGTAAACTTGCAGCCTGGTGAGATTTTCCAAAATCAGTGGGAGTAAAAAGTATAAATGCTTGAAATGTTTCTCAGTTGTCTTTATCTGTAGGTTACTACCTGCATGGTGTTGAGTAGTTCACCCTCTTTTTGGGAGGGCTGAGTTGCTTTCCTGGCAATTTTCAATTCCAAGAAAGTTGTTCTGGCATTTTGTTTTGAGTCAAGTTTGCTGATGATCCATCCCTCCTGTCAAGTAGCCAGTTTGTACCTGCTCTCTGATGCAAGTGTTAGTGCTCTGTGTTTACACAAAGACGAGTGATGTGGTTTGATTTACTGCTCTCAAATCTCTCTGAGCAAGTCAGGCTGCATTTCACGAGCAGCTGAGCCAAAGTACAAGCCTGAGTACCCTGAACTGGGTGAGGGCTCTCTTCTCCCTCCTTCCTCTTCACTCTTTCTTCCCCAGCTTCCCTCTCTCCTCTCTCACCACCAGGAATCATTGTAGGTTTCAGTGAACAAATATATCTACAAACTGGCAAACAATTTTTTTTCCTGCCTTTGTTTTGAACTTTTTTGTTGAGGTGCTGGGTTTCTTTATGTTTTAAGTTTGCTCTTTAGGTTGGTAAATAGTGAATTAAATAGGTTCAGGGAAGGGGTCAAAGAAATGCCAGGGCCATAGTGAAAATAAGTAGTGTTGCTAGAAAGGATGGAGAGGCCAGAATCCTCCCTTAGAACAGCAGTGAACTTTGGTAAATTCACTGGTTATCAGACAACTGCCCCCAGACAGGATATTCTTCTGGGCTTTTATAATGAGCATTAAAAAATGAAATTTAGTTTTCCATTACTCTGCTTCCTCTGAAGCAAAAGCTTTGGGAGATTTTGTGTTTTGAGCAAGCAGAGAGAGTGAAACACCTGGCAGTGTTATCTCTGTTTAGACTACCCTCCCTTGCAGGGAGGCCCAAGGATTTATCTGACTTTGAGGGAAGCAGCTATGATTTTTCTTGCTCCCTCAATAGCAAGAGGAGCCAGGTGCCAGGAGAGGTGTTCAGCAGTGTGTGTTTGAGCTAAGCCCGCTCCTAAGCGTGTGTTTTCTACCTCCATGTGAGAGCAGGCTGCTGCTGTGGGTGGTGCTGCAGGCTGCTTGGCTCCTGTCCGCTCTAAGGGCTGCCTGGTGCGCCTCTCTGCTTGGTGAGTGCATTGCAAAGATTACCAGGTCTCTAAGAAGATTAGTCAGTAGACTATAGGTCCTGTTATGCTGAAACACTTCCTCTACATAAACTAGGCAAATGAACACAGCTGATTTAAGAATATTTTAGCCTGTTGAGCTCCACTTAAGTTCAGACAGGGAGGGGAAGAGCATTTATTTGGTTCATTGAAGAGAATGGCCCAAATCTGTTTCAGAGGTTTTTAAATTGTGGCTGATTTATAATAAGCAAGCTAAATTCCTATAATGAGCTAATCTAACAAACAGCTGCCAATACAGAGCAGTCACAGTCATCCAGCTGCTGTCACATAAGGTGCTGAATAACTTTAGAGGTTGTAGATGCTGGGAGGACAGTAATCTGATTAGAGATAATGCATAACAGAGAATTATGGATCAACAGTATGCCAATAGGTGGGTAAAACACAGTCCAGCTTTCAAGAAGGAAGTGCAAATTACATTAGGAAAATGTAAGAGTAGATCATTGGAGGTTTTTTAGGGTATAAGAGCTAAAATAAAACTTTTCTGCCTATGATGTAGCTTACCAAGAAGTCACTTGAGAATGTTTGTTTAAAAAAGATAGACAAAGATTAGAGAGTCTCTGCATACTTGAAATTCCCAGTGCTTCAGATTGCAAAGACATGTAGGTTACAGTAGCACCAAATGAGCACACCCTTCAGAGAGGAAGGTTAATGGTTTGGAAACCAGTCCTGAAAAGAGTGACCTGAAAGTCGCTATTAAAACTACTTTGTTTCCTGCCTTTGAAGGCTGCTTTAGAAAACACAGAAGCTTTCATGTATGGTGTTTGTTATAAAATATACCTGTGGACTCTTCTCCTGTACTTATTTTTCTTCTTAACCTGTTTGTAAAAGTGTTTGTGCTATCCTCCTCTGGCAGAATTGTATGGGACTGCAATATATCCACTAAAACCTTGCAATAAGTTTAGATCCTGGAGCTTGCTATTGTTTCGGAGGGAATGCAGTATTGCAGCATTCTCTCTGAACGTGTGTGATTAGAAATATCAGCACATGCAGAAAGTGTTACAGTACATAAGAGGTTTGCTAAAATGCATTGGGAGAAAGTTTTATCTTTCTACTCCTCAAGGCAGAGCTGCATCCTGAACTTCATGACACTGTTATATGCCAACTCACTTCAACTCACTTTATTAATTAAAAATCTTTATTTGTTTTCCATCAGATCAGGGGATAGAGATAGTCTGAGAGTCATCTTTATGTAATTCTATAGTTGCAATCAATCAATCCTGATTGATTTCTTTGATAGAGTAATATTTATCTAGCTATCCCTGTTCTTCCAGAGAAAAAGAGGAAGCAAGGGAATGAATGACTTCATTCTTCTCTGCTGCTCACTGCCAAAATCTGTTGAGATGGAAGAATGCGACTTTGTCCTTTCCCAGCAGTGACCAGATCTGACAAAGAGAGCAAATAGCTTTAAACACACCAACGCTCTGCTTTCATCAGCTTCTGAAGGGAAATGAACAATAAAGGTTCACCCATCTTCAAAGTCTGCTCCCAAGTCAGAAATACAAGGACATGAGGGTTTACTTTTTCTGAATTTGTTGTGATCTGTGAATACGTGGAAGTTGGTTACAAAATGTACCTGTATTAGGCTCCATCTTCCTGCATAAAGTGATTTTTAGTGGAACCGGGAACAGAAATCAAAAGCACAAAGGGTTGGGGTCACATGCCTTGTTACTGCCTTTAATCTTTCCTAGCCTTTTTGCATCACTGCCTAGCTCCATGTTTTGATTGAAGAACACAGTACAAGTGTAGTTTGTCTAGTCCATGGAAACAACAAACATTCCTAATGAGCTGGAATAATGACAAACCCCTGCAGCTTCACTGTTTTGTGTGAACACCTCAAATGTCTTGTCAATTAGACATCTGGAGGCATTAGCAGGTGTTGGATGCTTTTCCCTCTAGCTACATGCTTTTTTCATTTAAAAAAACTGTAAGACACCTATGCTTTTTTCAAGTGCAAAATAAGGTTGAAAAAATGGATCATTAATATTGAGGGCAATACTTCCTTGGTGGTATGAAATTTGTGCTCTACTGAATTAAAATATTCTGTAATAGTACTAAGCTTTTTCAAAAGTAAGGGAGCCTAATCATTAATAGACTAGAGTGACCTAATTAAAGTGATTTTTCAGGCGGAGGAAGCTAAGAGGCAGCTAAACAATAAAATGGTACTTCAAGCACCAGTGTACTGATGTGCTCAGTTAAAATTATCAGATTTACTGTGTTAGTGGAATAATGCATTCAAAATGCTGTGCAGGTAGAGTCACACATGGCATCTACTGCAGTGAGGTCCAGGAAAGAATTAAATATTATCACAGTGGGTGCTGCAGCTGTACAAATAATAATAATTTAGTTGTAATTATTCCTTTTGGCAATTCCAGCAGCTTCTCTGAAATAAAAGTACTTAAAAGTACTTGTTGGTCCTCATAGCTTTTTATGTTGATAGCAACCCTTGGATATTTTGTGAAGTTCATTGCTGACTGGGTCAACATGTGAAAATTGATTCTCCTTTAGATCGTCTCCTAAGATCCTATTTGGATATCCCAAAAAGTGATTTAGAGGGAGACAGAAAAAAGGAAATGTTTTTCCCCTCTCTAAAGACTAAATAACTACAGGTTCTCAGCAGTGTCTCCAGAGAATGTAGAAATCTCGAGAGTGGATGGAGAGCTGTGGAGGGACAGGTGTTCACCTCTTTTTAACTCCTCTGTTCTGCTCTTCCCTTTGCAATGGGCTTCATTCCTCCTGGGCACGCTGCACTTGGTGCAGGTGGGAGTGCAGCAGGATTGTCCCTGCTCCAGGTGGGAGTGCAGCAGGATTGTCCCTGCTCCGGGCAGTCCTGCAGCACTTGTCTCCTGGGAGCAGCCAGCCCTAGACTGTGCCATATGGTGAGGAAAGCAGGACTCTGTCTCCCCCTGCTGAGTCATACCCTCAGAAAGAAGGTCAGAGGGTTTAGTTTTCACTCAGCTAATTAACTTCTGCCACTAATCAAATAGCAATTAGTAGATTGAGTGCTTAATTAACATTTCATAATTAAGAAATGAAATTCTCATAATGAAATAGACTGTAGTGAAAGGTATCTCGTTCTTTCTTCTCTTCATTATGTATTTGGCTGCCAGTTTGCTCTGATATAATCAGTGGTGGGAGAGGTAGTTGGTGGCATATTAATTAAAGTCTTGTTCTAACTTATAAGTGGATTTTAAATTAAAAATCTTCCCAACTTGCATTTGAGAGTAAATTATTAACTTTTACTTAGGCTACACTGACGTGATATATATTATTATATTGCTGTTATATTAATCTCCTCTCAGTAAACTAGGCTTCAGTTTTAGGATGCACTTCATTTCTTGCACGCTGTATTTTTACCACAACAGTTTGCATATCCATATTCAAGCATTGTGCTTTTTTTCCTTTGTGTGTTGCTTGACATTACAACTGAGTTCCAAAATAAAGGAAAAAACTGCTTTTTCATTTCAATATAATCTGCTGACTTTCCTCTGGCTTCAGAGCCTTGTTGTTATTTAGAGACGTTGATAAACTTCTGCCCAGACTTGTCCATGTGGAAACTGCTTCTGATAAAGATGTTTTCATGTCTAGGATGAAGTGGTGAAGTTGACAGATAAATGTCTTAACAATGCAATCGAGAGCCCAATCGTAGCAGCAAAGTGGCTTCCAGCAGATCTCAAAAGCAATATCCTGAAGGCCCAGGCAGAAGCAGGACACAAGGTAAATACTCGACTGAGCAATGCTATGACGCTCTCAAATGTTTTATTTCTCTTAAATTGCCTGATGTTGGAGAAGGTGCCTTGCAGATAAGGGTATTCCAAGAGCCTTGTCCAAGGCAGAGTCAGAGGGTTTCTCACAGTGATAATGGGTCTGTCCTGGAATGGTTGCCCAAGGAGGAATTTCTGTCCTTGATGATTCTCAACAGGTAACAGGACGAGACCCTTTGCAAGCCCTGGTTTGTGAGGTCATTGAGACAGGCAATCTCCAAAGGTTGTCTTCTGATCAAGCAAGTATTCTGGCACTAAGACTGGACACTTTGTATGTTGTAGTAAATTCCTTAGCAAATAACAGTATTTTATTTGGTTTTGTTCGTGAACTATTTATTTCTGCACTAGAGTTGTCATATGGAATTGATGTTCTTAAGTCCCTGAGCTTTAGATGAACAGCACGTTTTTGTGCTGGGATAGAGACACTCAGCTCTACTGTGAATCTGGCATAAGATGGAAACTGGTATCAGAAATGTATGTCTCTGTTCATTTCTTCCTCTCAGGCTGGAAAAGATGACAGCATGACAGGTGTCAAGAATTCCAATATTCAGGAGGCTGCTGCCAGGTAGTGAATAGATTTGTAAGAAACATGTTATGTAGTTACCTCACTACAGAACTGAGAATCTGCAGTTTAGTTTGGTCTGCCAGTGGCTCAGTCGCCATTGCATTTTATCTTGCATAGGGTACCTTAGCCTCATGAGTGTGAAATGGTTTTGAGATGAAAACCAGGATTATAACTGCTGAGTTTTATTATATACAAGATAATACAGATGCTTTTTATTCTGTCATACTTGCTGACCATTATTACAACAGCAATTTCAATCACTAATTATTTCTGAAATGTGAACATCTTCAGTATGGGGAGGGGATGGGTATGTTCACAGTAGGTGCTTTCTAGTGGATGAAAAAAAAATTGTGTACAAACCCCTGCAGTGACAATTTGCTGAGAATTACTAAATATTAAATGATTTCAGGGTCCAGTGGAATTGCAGGCGTTGAAAAATTTAAAAAAGGTTACAGCATCTAACTTCTGACTATTTGTGAAGATGCACGTGTGGCAGACCTCAAAGAGCAGAGGGTGATACTGTAAATAAAACGTAAAAATAAAATCTCCATTAGCAGTCCCAAAACTGTGTTGTAACAAGTGATTCATAAAGAGCTTTCCATAGAAGGTTGTACCTGTTTTCTGTTTTTGTTTTTTGTTGGTTTGTGCCAGGAACCTTATCCTGTCAGGCAAATCACAGAGCAGTCCCCCAGCGACCAGTCCAGTATTCCAAGATCCAAGAGAGCTGCTGAGAGCCATCCCTGCTTCAAACACCTTTGTTCTGTAAGTGATTCTGGAGAAACCTGTTCCTGGGGTAAGGGGGACCAGGTGGAGGTTATGATGAAAAGGCTTGAAAAGATGAGGAACAGTTGCTGAGCATTTAGGCTACATCCAAGCAGGTTTAAGGATGCATTTCTAATTACCCTTGCAGCAGTTAATCAGTAGGCCAGGCCTCGGGGTGAGTGTCCTTGAGCAGTAGTGAATCTCTCTCATCTTCTGAGAGGACTGAGATTCCTGACATCCTGCTGCCCCTGGCTCTAAAGAGGAAGATAAGAGGATGACAGGAAAGGCTTCAGGCAAATTAGCCACAAGGGCTGAAGAAACTCCTTTCAGATAGAAGACATCGATACTGTTGGGTCTATACAGAGCTGTAGCTGGGACTATGGGAGAGAGCATAATCTGTGGAGGTGGTTGGAAGGCATTTACATTAACATACAAACACCAGTCTTTTGTCTGCCTCCGTGGAACTGGTGTCAAGGTTTTGAGCTGTCTGGGAGGCAGCCCTGTTCCATGCTATCCCGGCAGGGTACTAATGAGGATGTTTTCCTTTCAGTAATACCTTGAATGAGGACAGTGCTGACTCTAACCATGAGGACCTGCTAATTCCAGCTAATCTGGCTCCAACTGAGGAGGCTGCTGTTTCAAAGGTATCACCACCTGCCAGCCTGGAAGGTTTCTATGTCACATTCTGAGCTCCCGATGCCTCCAGGCAAGCCCAGCAGATATTGCTGCATGCCTCTCATAACTCAGTGAATGCCAGGCGCTGGGGAATGCCAGAGAGTGCTTTCTGAAGCAGGCAAGGACACTGCACAGATCTTTCCAAAGGCCATTTCTGCGTGTCATTTCCAGTTCTTGGTGTAACTCTTATTTTTCTAAACTGGTTGTTTTTCTTACACTGGAGAGAGCCCCTTGCATCCCAACGATTTCATGCTCCAGTAGGGAGACGGTAGGGATGAAATTCTGACATAGGCAGTTCCCATCAAAAGAACCACAGAAGGAAAAGTTTAAATTTAGATGTTCATTTATTATATTTTAGTTACCTTAAAATATTTTTGACTGAATTCCATGAAGAGCACAAATTCGGGGATTAAACTTTCTTTTGTCCCTCTCCAAAAGAAAAGTAGAGTCCAATGGACCTGTGCTGCCTTTACTTGGGCAGACTGACAGGTTGTTCTGGATGACCAAAACACCCTGCCCTGTAGCTGTTGGGCCTCTAAACCAGTATTACATAGTTGATCCAGCGAATAATCACAAATTTCACTGAGTTGCAGCACCCCACTCCAGACCTTGCTGACATTTCGAATGGTGCCGTAGCCCACCTTCGCAGAGGGCAAGGGACACTTTCACTGCTTGCTTACAGTGGCAGTGATGTTGTTTCCAGTACTTTAATGAGAATAAGGGAAATCAAAAGGCTATAAAAAAGATCAAATGGAAATATGTGGAAAACCAGACCTGATAAAAAGTGATGTTCATTAAAGATACTGGTCTATAACTCAGGAAGCCACTAGAGTATTCAGTAGACCTGTGTGTTTAGTACTGGGAACTCAATTCAAAACTGATTTATTCCATAGAGCACTCCAGATGACCAGGACGTTTCCTTAACATCACTGACAGAGAATCTAATTGACTTTACAGAAGCCACACCTCGGGTAAATGTATTTCAAACCCAAACTTTTTCCTTTGCACGTAACAGTGATTTTTACTCATGGACTCTCCTCTGGCTTTAGTGTCTGTCTGCCAGGCTTGGATCTGCGGCAGTGGAAAGGAGTGATGGACAGGGATCGCTGCTCACATGGCCCCCACCTGCAGGGTGGATGGGGTAGGGGTGTAGACTTGACAGCTTTGCAGGGGAAATGAAGGAACCTGAAGAGTGAACCTGAGTGTGCCATAGGAACCTGTAGTACTGTTTTAGTAGAGCTGCAAGTGCCAGTCTGCTTCTCACACTTCTGGGAATACATAAGGGTTCAGAAATTAGATGGGAAGATGTATGTACATGTGTGTATGTCTGTATATATAGGTATACACACAAATAATTGAATAGTAAATTTGTAATGCTAATCAAGCCTTTTATATAGATAAAAAGAAATCTCTTAGAATCTATGCTGGCAAAAATGAGTTACATTGTATGCACCAAGAGAAAGGGGAAAGAAAGAGGACCTTTAAACTCTTCACAGTAGTGTGCTCTTGATTAAGGTTGTCCACAAAGCACTAAAAGATGATGGATTCTTTCCTTTGGAAGGGAGCACTGAGCTGAAACTGCTCCCAGTGAGTGTCTGGCTCTGTGCTCAGTGGGTGCCACATCTCCACCTAATCACTAGCGTGATTCAAAGGCTAACAAGGGGCAAATTTCTGGGATTGTTTTGGGGGAGGTGTTGTTTTGGGAGGTATGCTATTTTGACAACGTTCTCAACTGCTTTCAGCCTTTTAATTGAGCTTTTGTTTGTTTTTTGTAGGCATCTTCTCAGCCCATTGTAACACCGAGGTGGATAGTGCCAGTGAGTTACTTGATCATTTCTTAAAGGAAAAAATCGAAAGCTTTTGTCATGATTAAGAAATAGGAATTCAAGTTATAAATAATAAAATACCATAATTTTTAATAGTTTGAAGGTCTGTAAATTAATGTACCAGGCCAAAAATAAAGCAAACTAATTCAGCTGGAGTAAGTCAGACAACATACCCTGTTAATAGTTCAACTTCATTTTTGCTGTATTGTACTGCAGGAAAATGCCATAAAACACCTTAAAGAACTTGTATTAGTAAAGCCCAGTCTGGAGTTTAATGAATCCTATTTTTGCCATTTATACATAAATCATATTGAAAAGTTAGCTTGCCTTGTCCTGGCTGATGTTATGTATAGATAAAAACGTTGTTTGAGTTTCTTGTTTCATTCTTCCCCGTTCAGACCGGACTGATTTCCAACGGGCCTTTGGGAAATAATGTTGCCTTGTCTTTGAAGGCAGTGAAAGGCAGCACGGAGACCCTGATGTCCTCAGCTGGATTGACACCATCCCAGCAGGCACCCGAAGTGAGGTGAGGTCTTCTCAGCTCACTCCACGAAGTCTCTGTGGGCACTCTAATTGTTTCCATAGCTGACATAGTTACAGAGGCCATTTAGACACAGTGCCTTGTTTTGCTGTGCTAATAAACTGTAGCTCTGTCTCATTTTATAGCAATTGAAGTATGACAAATAAATGGATGTGTATATATTATAATTTCACTTCAGTTTCTTTCCTTATCTGCTCACATGTTCTAATGCTAGACTAAAGTTAGGGTACAGAAAAAAATTCTGAGAAATCTCTTTATAGTGTTTCAGTACCTGCCAGAGGATTGGTGGGTATGGAGAGGGATGCCCCTGTTATTTCCAAGCTATAAGGACGTCAGAAAACCAAATTAGTAGAAGCCTTTTCCCTTACTATTCCATTTTGCCATGCTGATGAGGCAGAATGATGTCAGTGACCATCGGGCCTTGCAGTGACCATCTTTAAAGAATGGCAGTGGTGGTGCTGCTGCACTGATAAAATTTAATTCAGTTTGCTCTGCTGCCACTGTCCATTAGAAAGGTTTGTCTGTTGGTGTCATTAAATTAAAAGGGGAACAGCCATGAATGCTCTTTGAAGCAATACTCTCTTGTAATCCATCATGACAGACCTTTTTGGAGGAGTGTATTTACAGAGTCTTATATTTTTTCCCTCTTTTAGCCCAGTTACTGAGGATGCTACAATAAGAACAAAATGTTTACTCACCACTGAACTCTAGAAGAAGGAGTCTCTGAAACTCTCACCTTGTAAAAACTCAAATCTTCTAACATATCTCCATGGGATCCTTCCAAAAGACTTGCTTGGGATCAAACTTGTGCTGAACTGGAGTCAGCCAGCCAGCTGGTTTGCCAGGATCCAGGAAGACACTTCGGCATTTTTCACAATCTAACTGGAACTGCAGCCTGAACTGGGATATAAAACCACGTGCACCAAAAGATCCTTTTGATCTTCTCCTTCAGGAGAAGCGAAATGTCACACTGGAGCTGGTTCTGAGCTGAGGAAAAGAAAACAGTTGTGTTCTGCTCGTGCTGGGTTAATTGCTCCTTACCCTGAGCTGGCTGTGGTGCTGGAAGGTGCTGCAGAGCTGTGGGCTGTGAGCACAGAGCCCTGCTGGCTGTGGAGTAATGAACCTCCAGGGATGAGGAGACCTCGCGGGGCCACCTCATGGCCATGCCCTGCACGGGGCTCTCCATGGTGGTCACTGTCCCTCCCGTGCAGCCAAGAACGTTTTCTTCTGTGTGATTATTCTCTCTGTTTTTCCTTCGTGTTACCAACACATACTCTCCTTTTTGGCCTTAACCCCCTTATAATAATCCTTGCACACCTTATGACAGTACCTGCAAAGCCTGACTGTTTAGTCCATCAGTGACCAGCTGTGTAGGCTGGATTTGAGCTGCTGCTCACTGCAACCAGGAAAATGCAAATTACCTGCCAAACAGTTGTAGTATTAGCAGAATGCATATTATACTGATAATTTCATTTGCTACATGATTCAAATACATGCATTTTAGACTAGAGATCTGTATGTTTTAAAAGCCAAAGCGGTGAAGGTGTTGAGTGCAGCTTCTTTCAGGAACTGCTTATTGATTAGTATTGTTGTCTTCTAGGACTAGAAAGGAAAACAGTTTTCTTGTTTCTCTTCATGCTGTTTCTGGGTGTTTTTTCCAGACACTGTGCTTAAGGAATACTTACCAGGTATTTTTGCAGCATGAGGATACAACTAGATCAGTTTTCAATACCACTTTGAATCCTGTTCCAAGTGTCATCTAATTGTTGTATGTGGAACAAATAACAGAAAGACTGGGGTGAAAATAGGAAAAAAGGATGAAAAATTCCTGTAAGCAATTCACGTCTCTTTAGAAGGAAGGTGAGAGCACACTGCACAGCGAGGGGAGGGTTTTGGGTGCTCAGGTGAAGTTTGGGGTACAGTGCATACAGTTCAGAGATCATTTGAGCTCTGGGAAGCAGTATCATCACATGGACCCTGGCGATATAGCCTGTGAAAACAGTAATGCAGAGTCAGAGGGGAGGAGAAACAAAGGTGATTAATCCCACATCTAACAGGGAAGCACAGGTGAAACAACTGTGATCTTTCTTTCTGAGGAAGAGGTTTGAACATATGACTGGGGTTGGAGGGCATTTTCTGCATAGTGCTGCTGTTTGTAGATACTTACATGCATGTGGGTGTTACAAACAAACTTAAATGTGAAAATTAGTTCTGGATTCTGCATGCACAACTTCATTTCTGCCCACTGGCTGTGTGCACGTGTCTCAGTGTAAACAAAATTTGGGACCAAACCACTATGGGTTGTGCAAGTGAGCTGGGCCCAGCGAGGCTGCTGCGTTCAGACCAAGGTGTTCGTGCTGCTGTTGCTCTCATGCTCTTCTTTGCAAGATGCTGAATTCATGTTGAGGGAGAAGCCACATGATTTTATATGGCCCACTGCCACATCTCAAAACCCCTGAGACCTTAATAGAGGAATGTAGGGACCAGAGAAAGCTTGTAGGACTGACCTAGCAGTGACTCTGCAGGCGGTGATTTGCAGCCATTGCCTCAGGAATTTGCCAGGATTTCAGGATTAGTGGCAGGTGCTGCAGGTGCCTCTCCAGCCAGCAGCAGAGCAGCACATGGGCAGGTCCTGCTCCCAGCCCTTGGGCTCTCTCATTGCTACTTCCAGTTGAGTATTGGCTTATTTTATTCTTTTACATCTCAGCCTTACTTATTAAAACATAGAAGATTCCTGATTTGAATATCAAATGTCTTAGTCTGGATTAATAATGCAGTTGCCAGAAAAGTTCCTGCAGGAAAAGGGAAGCAATGGCTGCAACAGTCTGCTTTCTGCACAAAGCCAGGACTGTGTGTGGAAACTTGGCACTTGCTATTCATCTGTTTGCTCAGCAGCTGAGCTGGCATTCGCCAGCTACATGTGTTGGGTTTGTAAATAGACAGAATGCAGTAGCATTTTCTTAGGCATGTTTGATATTTGGCTCTTCCCGTTGGGTTCAGGAGCTCTGCGAACTGTCAGCTTGAATCCCTCCCAAAACTGGAATAACAGAAGTTTACAGTTTTCCAGCACTGCATGTTGAATACCATCCTTAGATTCCTCCAAGCCATCACAGCAAATAACAAGTAAATAGTGTGTGATGAGTGTGTGCCCTAAAATCTAAATGGTTCCAAATAACCAACTGTTCTTTCAGCATGGTCAGGATAGCAGTGTTTGGAGGGAACTGTAATTATACATGCAGAGAAACTTCAAAGGGGCGAGGCTTTCCTCAATTTTCAGAGGACTAATATTTGAAATTTCTCATAAAAATGCAAATATTTCAACTGGTAAATTGGGAACTTGCAATGTCTAATAGATCTGGGGCTACAAACCCAACTCTTCCCAGCAAAATCTGATACTTGGAGCAACTATTCACTCAATTTACCTTGATGTAGATTATCTAATCAAATCACTGCTTATGTAGGGAGCCTGGCGAGACCAAGGTGACACAGGTTTGTGATCTGAACATCCTGCAGTTTGGCATCACTGTTCTGGTTTGCAGCTAGAAATACTGTGTTACAACATGACTGCCTAACAGGTAATACAGCATTCCTCATGACCTGCATTTTATCAGACACAAATAGGGCTAATAGTTCCTACAGTTAGTGTTAAAAAGTATCACTTAATGCCTGTGTGCTACTGAGATAAAAGGATTTTCCTACTATTGTTATGCTATTGATTGATTGGCTCTAGGGTTAAGAATGTTCTTAAAGTCTAGTTTTTGGTATTTATTTAAAGAGATTTATAAATAAAGCTTTTGTGTGAATCTGGCGTCAGGATGTTGGCAGGTCTGCCAACCACTGAAAAACTATAAGAGTTGACAGGAATGAATGCTGAGTGATTGCATCTGAAAGTAAAAGTGATTTTACTCCAGTCACATTCTGTGATTGTAGTAAAAGGTTTTATAGAAACCTTGGTGTTTATAATAGTATCCCTGTCTTACCTCAAACTGATTAACCCGAGAGAGATGCATTTCAGTCTCACCGATTTAAGACCATCAGGGTCTGCATGTGCTGTGTGCATTCACAGACTTGGGAAATGACATTAAAATGTAGGAGTTGAGGCTTTCTTACACCAAAATTAAGGGAATCTCTTCTTTAATTCAGTGGTAATAGAGGTTAATATTAGGTAAGTTACAGGACATAAATTACCTGCTTTCCTGTTACTCAGTCATGGTTAATGAATTAGCTTGAATGTATTTGACTTCAAACTTAAATTTTTCTACTTTGTCAAAGACAGCTATGTAAGACAATTTTGGACAATTTTTTGGACACAACTTCAGCAAGAAAATTTGCAGCCCTGTTAGAGCAGCTCAGGTGAGCAGTGCAGCTATGTGTGGGTCTCTGTACAAGCTGTTTGCTTTCCCTTTGTCTGCACCCTGCTCCTTCCTTCTGCTTTCATGAAGCATGTTGGGATGAGCGTGTCCTTCACAAGCAGCACTGGATGTATTTTTCACATTGTGAATATATTCTGGTACAACCCAAATCTACTGGTGAAGTGATAGCAGCTAGCAGCCAGCTAGCATTTAAAGCTCTATCTGGGCACATAGTGTTTCTGAGTTTAGGAAGCTGTAGTATCTATATACATACATATATATATATGTAGCTGTTAGACACTGTAATGTCACAGCTTTCAAATGCAGCTGGACAATTATAACTTTTCAACCAGAAGATAGACCAAGATGTACTAATGGCCTTTCAGTGACAGAGGTGTGATCTGGGTGTGTTTGCTCCAGGTGTTGGCACTGCAGACAGGAGTGCAGGTGCTCGGCACAGCCCTTAAAGCCAGGGCTCGGCTCGGTGTCACAGGCACAGCCCTTAAAGCCAGGGCACTGCCGGCAGCCCTGCCACACCCACAGGGCCAGGAGCCACAGGATTCTCCTGAAGAATTCACCTCCTTTTGACTGCTTGGCTTGGAAAACTCTGCTCCATAAACACACACACCACCCCTACCTATATAACTGGACAAACTTATTTTTAAAGTATATAAGAATATTTTTTTAGCTAGATTTGTTTTGTTAAAGCCGCACTAACTACTGTATTTTTACTTTTTATATGTAAAGCTTGGCAATAGGTCTCAATGTATAATTTATTTGTTGGGTTTTTTATAAAACAAAGTGCACCCTCTTGCTTCTGTTTCACTATACTGGTGACGTATGAACTGTCTTAGGTACTGCACTGAGATCTGTATTGAAACTGTACATGGGAACAAGTAGATCTGTAGTCCACTCAACCCAGTCTTGGAATGTTTATACTGTAGTTTTGTCTGAAATACACCATGTCAGTGCAAAACTCTTGCAGAGTCATCTTTAAGCCCCCTGCATTACACCAGCACAGCACTCAGAGGTGGGTCAGCTGGGGCTTGGGACACCGGCTGGCTGCTCCAAAATTAGCCTGTTGTCAGTTAAAGCTTAACTTAGGACAGCACCAAAGCTTGCAGGTAGATGTTTAAGAATTAATTGCCTTTTTTCGAACAGAGCTGAGACTGTCCACGAGGACTGTCAGGTGCCCAGAGCCTTTGAGAACCAGTCCTGCGGTGTGTGCCCAGAAGGGGAGCCCGAGCTGCCTGGTGTGGTTCCAGTGCAGGCCCGTTAACCGAGCACCCTCACTTGTCTGCAGCAAGGGACCGGGCTGTGTCCTCAAGTGCAGCAGCACTAGTGACTGTTCAAAGGGAACTCCCAAGCCCTGACATCGACTCAATGCGAAAGATGGCAGCAAAGGGCAACTAAATTCTTTGAACATCTTTGTTTCTCAAAAACTGGAAAGTATGAAAAGGAAGAGAAATTACTCCATCCTAATGACTAAGCTCATAGGAGATAATTTCTCTGTGGCATAATTTGTTGTGTAGGTCAAACTGTGATCCCACTCATAAATCACTGAATTGTTCTTCAAATCCACTTACAACTCAAAACAATTAAACATTTAGGTTTCTTTATTATTAACTGAAAAAACCTTCTTTGAATACCTGCATTTTAGAAGAAAATATTTCTGCTATTCATACATTTTAATGTTCAGAAACCAAATGTCAACTAAAACAATGAGTTTGAGATGTTTAGCGCTGATCAATTTGTTCCCTATATGCAATTTATGATAAAACAGCACTTCTTATGTCTCAGATGAGGTTGCCAAGAATGCTGCATCCTTTTGTTTTTGTTCTGTGGACTGAATTTCTGAGCATATCAGATATGTGCAAAGTTCCCTGCTCTTCAGAGGTATTCTAAACAGCCAACTTCAGTGGCAGCCCCTTCAGTCCCAGCCAAAAATGGTGTGTTTTGTTTTGTTTCTAAATATTTGCCGTTAGCTGGAGTAATTCCATTCATTATTTCATGCAGGCCACCACCGAGCTTTCAGATGGCAGACCTGGGAATGGCCCACAAGGGGAGAAAGAGCCTCCAGTGGCTTCAGCAAATCTGCTGTAGCACAGAGCCCCACTTCAGGATCAGGGCTCTCTCCCCTTGCACAGCATTGCTGGGGCCAACTGTTGCTGAGCCTGCTGCGAGCCAGGCCTGAGCCCCCATCCCTCCAGCCAGGCCTTTCCCAGCCCCTGCTCCCCGCATGTCCGGTACAGGGGCAGGAACAGCTGGAGATGTTTGGCAGAGTGGGTGTGGTGCTGCCAGTGCAGGTGCCCCACCTGACCTGGCCCTCGGGCAGAGCCCAGGGGAGAGAACAGGGGAGATGGGCTCACTCCAAGCTGCTTTTTCCTGCCTGTGCCAAGCCATTGCCTTTGGGCTGGCTTGTGTCCCGCCTGTGTTGGCTCTGAGTAAATGTTAAACCCTTAGTGGGGCTGCCAAAGGGAAGAGAGTTTGAGGGGGCAGGAAGAAAGGAATGGCAGAGGCTGCATGGCATTTTCCTGGGGCTCTTGCACATCCCCAGGATACCGCTACCTGCCAGGAGGCCTTCATGTGACTTGGAAGAATCACCGGTTTATTGTTGCCCTTTCCAGTTAAATTTCCTTCCCTTGTCAATCCTAGATAAAGGCTGTATGTTACGGCAGCTCTCAGGATAAAGCCAAAACAGACATGTCAGTCAGCACGAGGAAAACAAGCTGCTGATCTAAGACTGCAGTGCTGAGTACATGCTCAGCTTAGTCACTGTATTGATGTCGCTTCCAAATAAACCTCCTCAAACTGGGAAGTTCTTCTTCTTCTTGGAGAAATTCAAAGGGCAGCCCTCAAAGCCGGCTGAAGTGCAGGGAAATGACTGAGGCTTGCAGAATCGTGTTCCTTGGTCAAAAAGGTAAGTTCTTTGTTCAGTTAGAAAATGCAAACACATATTTTAGACTCATAAAGGTGAACATGAGCACACAGTGATAGGAAATGGAGCAGGCTTTATTCACACGGCGGTGTACAATCCTGTCTTTCCAGGTGAGAGGGTCATGGATGGTCCAAATAACTCTTAAGTAGCTTTTGCAAATCCATCTATAATTTTCCTATTGAATTCACGTGACAGTTACTTGTGAAGAGATGATGAAAGCATCTGTAAATATTCTTGAAATCTGTAAATTACTTGAAAGTCATTATTCTATGAAACTTTTGAAAAGTGAACTTTCTGGAAGTTAATACTTCCAAATATTTTGAAAAGTGAACTTTTTAAATATTTGGATGCATTAACTTACACTTTCAGGTAATTTCAGATACCAGCAGCTCTTACAGACAGCTGATGTTCTGTCAGAAGGCCAGTATTTAGTAACTTCTGTAGAAATAAATGCTTTGAACGCTGGACAATATTACCTTGCAAAACAAGCACTTTTTCTTTTCAGCAAAGAAAAATCATATATGAATTCAGAATTTACTACTACAGAGGGGAAATGAGTAACAAGTACTACACAGGGTGATAAAAGAGAGATGGGGTGGAAAAGCAGAAATCTCTTTAGGGCTAAAACATGAGTTACCAGTCAAAACAGCCCATGCTTTCTGCCACTCTGTCAAGCCCTCCTCTCCCTGTTCCTTCCCCAGCCCGCTGTAGGAAATCAAACCCTTTTGCTTCTGTGTTCAGTCATTAAAGCTAAGACTCATTTGGCACATCCTGTGTTCGTACAGGTATAATGTCCTTGAGGCTGTGGTCCTTGCTGATGATTTCCAGGGAGCACTCATTGTTTCACTTCCTCAAGGTTATACACAATCCTTGAATATCTTCTAGAATTGAGTTGCTGATTTATCTGTTGGGTTACTTTGTTGTAGGCCATCTCACATTGCAAATACATTGCACAAAGAAAATTCAAGAATATAAAATCTTTAAAATCTTAGAGAACATTAAGTCTGTTAAGACTAATTTAATCCCTCAAATGTGACTGTATTTCTCTCTTATGCCAGTGCAAAACAAGCGAGCTTTGCCCCTGAAATGGCATCTTGTGGAGCCAGTATGGGTTAAGGCAGTTCTGATTTTCAAGGCAGCATTGGCCATTGCCAATTTGAAAGGGTATGAAGTGACCAGGAGAAAAGTAACAAAAAGAGCAGCATTCCAACAAGCTCCTCTCAGAAATCACAACTTACATGCAAGTTGTGACTTAAATATATGTCGGGTTTTGTTAACATTGTAAAAAATCTGTTCGCAGCAAGTATGAGAAGGTTTAATTATTTTTTTCCCCAGCGTGCTGATAGGAAGCTGAAGACAGTTGCAAGCAGTTGGTTTTCCACCTACTGCCACCGTGGTGGAAATTTATTCCTTCACTTTGCAAGCAAAGCAATCACAAGCAATCAAACTCCATTTCCCTGAAGGAGATCTCGGAGAAGCTGGACAAAGGTTTGCCCCCGATGAGCAGCAGTGTGTTGGTACTGCTGATCTCACCCCCCATGGCCACACACCCACAGTCAGGTCTCTCCTCTTCACCCACAGCCTGAGCAGAAGCAAAAGCCTCTCCCGAACAGGCCAACAGATGGAGAGACTTGTCCTTGGACAAACAGCTCCTGTCTCTCTTTGGGCCTAGTCCTGCCTCTGAAGTGGTCTGGAAGGCAGGGAATTCTGCTGGCTCCAGGGGCAGGCTGAAGGTTTTCATTTCAATGGCGTTGCTCCGCTCTGTGGGCTGTGGGTGGAAGAAGCTGCAAAAGCCGGAGTACCTCGGGATGGGCACCAGCTTGGCACGGTCCTTGTGCTCACTCTTGCAGTGGCTGGGGAATGTATCAGTGAAATCCGAGGTAGTTTGGAAATCCGCACCAATTCCTAAGATGCAGTGATACATTTTAGGAGAAAAGTTTCCCTTTGTAGTACTACTAAGCTTCTTCCATGTCTGCGTATGGAAATGATACTTCCAGAGGTCATCATTAGGGCTGGAATTTGAAATCCCTCCACCAAAAATCAGCATAGAGTCTTTGCAGACTATTGAAGCGTGACCTACCACTGGAGGAGGTCCTTGGCTGAAGGCAAGAGAAACCAGCAGTTAAGGGGAGACCAAAAAGAAACTTAGCACTGATTTTAGCTTCTGTTTTCCTTTTGACTCAGAAGGATGACTGCTGAACAGCTGCATTGGGACATCAAAATTACACTGCTGACAGCTGCATCAACGCCTTGCCAACAGCTCTCCTGAGCAAAGCCAACTGGAGGCCCAGGGATGGCAGCAGCACTGCATCCTGATCTGAACAATCCCTACAATTACCAAGAGGGCATCGTCTCCCTCTCCACCCGCACACAGTGTCAAAGAGTAAGATTAATTCTCTTTCTCTGCTCTTTCAGTGTAACAAATAGAATAGTTTACCTTGTTCTGATGCTGGACCAGCTGCTGCTTCCGAAGTCCCACCTCCACAAGTCCCTCTGTTCAGTGAGCCCCATCAGCCCCCCAAAGAGGTACATGGCTGTGTGATAAACCACTGCCGAGTGGCCGTGCCGCGCTCCGGGACCACTGCTGTGACAGGGGCTGGAGACACACAGCCACTTCCTCGTACCTGGAACAAAACCACTCATTTATAGATGGAGCAAATTTACCCTGACTATTTGAGAGAGGATTTACTTCCTGGAGGAGGTAACTATTCAGTTGGAGAATAAGGGTTTCTACACTAAGCTGTTAATGAGTTAACAGTTTAAATTCTGACACTGAAAAAGTGCATTTAAAAAAATCAGTTTTGAAATAAACTTTTAATGAAAATGTCAGATGCTGTGTGACAGATGCCATGGAAATTTTATTTACAGAGCAGTTTTTCCTTCAGCTTTGTCAGTTCATTGACTCTGACACAGAAAGATACTTTCCTGGCTGTTAGAGGGAAAAAAATCAGTCAACAAAAACTTTAATTCACTAATGTCTCTGCTTATTCTCCCTGTGAGGGAAGGAAGGATGAGATAAACCCATCATTTGTTTCAAAATAGTGACAGAATAGCCATCAGATAACAAGTTATACATTTAGGAAATCTCTGGGAATCATCTTGTTTGCAATAATCAGACTGGTAATGAATATGCTAATAAACTATCTCCTGTCAGGTTTGATTCCCTGTGGTCAGCTGGAGACTTGAGATCAAAGATGGCATTAATAGGCTGAAATCTGGGTCCCTGCTGGATCTGAAAGTTTTTAGTAATCCTTGAAGAATTTTAGTGAGTAGTAAACAAACATTCTCCCTGATTTTCAGCTGTAAAACTGGCAAACACTGTAAAATATATTCCAGTGGAATAGTCTACTTAATTTCAGCAAGCAATTTACTGGACTGACAGAATTTATCTCTAAATGTTGTTGAAAAGAAGCCGAAACTAACTCAGAGCATTTCTACTGACAAGAATTTTCTTAGCAGAGCAAGCTCTCCTGCTGCAATTGCTGTTTTACGCCGGATCAAAACCTTATCCTGCTTTTTTAACTTACCAAAACGGAATTCCCAAAACTCCTGAGAAATGCCTTTGATGCCAAAGTATCCCCCATAGATGTACATACTGGAATGGTACACGACTGCACTGTGACCTTTTCTGTTAGCTGGTGCAGAGCTCTAGAACAGTTCAAAAATAAGACAAAAACCTATATAGTCATATCAGTAGCAATGTGTGTCTTGGAAATATACCTTGTTTTTTCCCCCACAAATGACCCTGCAGTCCCAAACTTTCCCATGACTCCTTTATCAAGCAAAAGCAACCAGAGTGGTAAGTCTGTCACATCTTAAAAAAAAAAAAAAAAAAAAAAAAAATTTGGTGTAATTTCAAGGTACAGAGGCATTGTGATGATGAAGTTTCAGTAGCAAAAAATTAGAGGATCTGAATGTGTAGTGATACAAAATCAATCTCAATAGACCAAGCCATAAATGCTTCCACTCATGTTGCAATTAGAAGTGGCAGTAACTTGGTGAGTCCACGTGTTCACACTGAAGAATTGAAAAATGCTGCAGCACTTCACGTTCCAAAACATATTAGTGTGGCTGCCAATCTGTTTTCACAACCCTACTTTTAAAAGCACAGGCTTCACGTATGGTTGCAATATTCCACTTAAAATTAGTTTCCTTGATAAGTATTTCAGAAAAACAGAAGCAGCAGCAGAGGAGAGGACTTAACTTCTTATATAGGACTTAAAATTTAAGAGCAGTATTTTTAAACACTGTTTTGAAGAAGGAAGAAGCCTTAAGTTATTGAAAGTGCAAAGAAATAAAGTACAGCCACATGTCTCTGAAGAGATGAGATTGGAACTGTTTGGGGGAACATATTTCAAAGCAATCTGTTTAATCAACAAAGCAACAGGCATTTGATTCACACATTCCCCACTTCCTGGCTCCTTACCTCCGTTTCTGCTGGTTCGTTGCAGCTCTCTGTCCATCTTGCGGAATCTGGGGGATTGAGTTAATAAAGCGCAGTTTAGATCCCGCACCACAAGAGGACACTCCTCCCACAGTAATTGTTCAAACTACACAGCTCATTTTCAAGGAAGTCTCGTCCTGGTGTTTTCTACTGACAAGGCTGAAGAAATCCCGCTAAGACAGCAGCACCGAGAGACTTGCAGGAGACACAGTTTGAACCCTTTTCCTCTGTCTTTATCTGATACAGAATTACACAGGTACCACACTATATTCCTGTTTCCTAAAGCTAAATTTCATAATTCAGAAGTAACCTGTGATTTTCATAATTTTCTGAACTTGTAGGAATCTCAGATTTCCCTATGGATGTATGAATCCTTTGGCTTAGCACATACACCTTATTATGGCAGACTTATTCTTTCTTGTTCTTTTTCATAGGTCCCTTAAATAGCCCTCAAATAACAGCCAGCAATCACAGATCTGGGATAACCGTGAAGGAGAGGAAATATGAGAAAAGCCACTATAGAAGTACAATGAGAAATCAGTGCAGGCTTGCATTACTTAAAGCTATTCTTGCCAAAAGATTTAAAATAATAACTATGAAGCAGCTAGACACACTACCAATGTTGAATAACTCATTTCCAATTCCCACTGGTAAGTACTGTGAGTAATAAGATGCTTTCTCCTTTAAAATATGTTCCAAGGTTTTTCTTTCCTCCAGCAGGTTATCTCAGACAGCTGGTGGAAAACACAAAGGAAAGATTGAAAAAACCCCATTGATTTAAAGTTACATTGTGAAGTAGCAAAAGAAGCCAGTAAACTTAAATCTTGGTCTGGACACAAGATTTACTGGCTCAAAAAGAACTGAGCTTCTCTCTCTCCTCCCAGTCTGACATAAAAATAACAGCTACTACTGTATGCAGGATTTCCAAAGGGCAAATCCACAGTATATGACATTGCTATTAAATTCAAATGCTCCATTGTTTTTATTAGAATATACACTTAAGAGATCCTAAATGTTTGTTCTTAGAAGAAAAAAAAAAATCCATGTTATAAAATGCTGATGTTAATTTCCCACCTTATTTAACTTTTTTTTTTTGCTCTAGCGTATGTGCTTCTTCAGTAAAAGTACAAATGAGATATACTTTACTAATCTACTTTCTTCCATAAGAGCTTAGTTTCTAAAACATATGTGGCATAAAAAATAAAAATAAAATAATATATGAATTATCAGGTCTTATGATCAAATAGCACATTTAAGGAGGAGAGAAGGAGGAATGGAAATTCTGGGACCTTAAAATACATAAAATTTTCCCATAAAATCCTCATTAATTGAAATAAGAGCAGCATCTCTGATAGCTGAACAGCCTAATTTTGAGAGGAAAATATGCACACAGTTTTACACACATTACTTGTTGTAAAGTTTAGGGAAGGCTCTGTTACAAGCAGCAGAAAACAGTTTGGTTCTCATTATTTATTACTGCCTATGAACTTGGAATGTCCCATGGAAAAGACCAGCTATTGTGTATCATACCAATGTCATATATCCAGAGAGGAGTTTTCGCTTGTGTGAAAGCAGAATCTACCATCCCACCAAAAATATACAGGCTGCCCTGCAAAATGCACAAATATTTGTCACTTACAGGAAGGCACACAGCATGGAAATAATTTTAAAAACAATTTTTAAATGCAAAGTTGCTATCAGCAAAATATAGTTAACAGTATGATGATCTTTTAACAGTTAGTCCCAAAAAGCCACCAACTTTTAATTATTCTCTCTTTATTCTCTCCCAGTGGGAAGCCCTGAAGAACATTCTGCTGTTTAATGGGGACAGTATTTCAGAACTGTTCCTTGTTAGCCTGGGGCAGCTTCAGTGCTGGGAATCTGGAGCTCTCTTGAGGCATTGCTCAGGTATATTGGATTATGCATGTTTAGAAAAGTGTTTCACTGTGTGGTAGCTCTTGATATCCTAAATTCTGTCTTCCTCTCACAGGCAGGGCTGTAATTCTCACTTTGCTTTACTCCCCCGTCTCTCTTCTACGCGAGTTCTGCAGTGAATGTTTTTATGCTGTAGCTGATCATGCAAATGAATTCAGAGCAACTGTTACAACTGCACGGATAAGTCAGGGGAAGTGCTGCCAGGGTCTTTATCTGGTATTACTGCTACTTACTGAGCACTGACTGAGGAAACCAGGGGGCTGCTGCAGGGCTGAATTACTGTCACTCTGTTCAGAAAGATTTCCAAACTTTGGTACAGCTACAGAACTGCAACAATGCAAAAATGCTTTCTGGGCATAGTATTACAGTACATAATAACCTGTGGCATTTTATTGCATTGTATAGTAGGAAATAAAATGTCAGGATATGGACAATATAATTCTGGTCTACTACCTTATAAGCCACCATTGAATGTTCTTCCAGTTCTTCTGGACCATCTCTTGAGCAATCCAACATTTCCCATTCATTTTTCACTATAAACCAAAGCTAAAGTTAAGACAGTGGTGTACTCCACACAAACAGTAGGGAAAAGGTGGGCTTTGAATGTGGCTGTGCTGCTTAAAATGAAACATTTTGTAATCTTTCCTCTGTTAAAAATTAAACACATACATTTTTCTATTTAGCAAATTTAAATATTATAGTAATAGTTACATTTAAATATAATAATTGTTATTGCTTGTATTTTAATTGTTGCCTATGTCAAATATGGACAATTCCATGAGCACGAACCCCAGCACAATTCTGTTTTATTCCAGTAACAATTGAACAGGGAAAACCATACATCAAGTCAAAAAATACAAAGTCTTATATTTGATAGTGCATCGATACTAGAAACCTACAAGGTATTGTATTTACATGTTCCCTTTGTGCACTTTTATATGCATGTACTATTGCTGTGTTAAGAGAGTCAGGAAAGTTCACTGATATCCCCTGCTAGAACCAGGATATTTTAAATTACTCCGTATTTTTGGTCAAGGGAAAAAAAAAACCAAACCCAAAAGGAACTGAACTGAAACCAAAACTTTGTGGGACACTTGCAAGAGTAGCAAACACCCCCCATATGCCCAATGAACAAAAGCAGTTTATGCAGCCCTGTGACAGAAAGACTTTAAATGAGGATAATCTGTTAAGTACAGAGCATCCTCAATTTCACGATGACTGGATGTAGAATCGCTTTAATCCTGACCTACAAGAGAAGGGGCCAGCTCACCTGTGTGGTACCTCCAGAAGTCCCTCAGCGTGGTGCTGCCGTGCCCTCCGTAGAGATAAACAAATCCTCTGCAAACAGCACAGGCGTGTTTGTATCGGTCACAGGGACGCGGCTGCTGCGCCTCGGCCGCTTCCCGCGCACCGCGGGCAGCTCTTCCCTTCATGCTGGTAACCAGGATCTTATCCAAGGATCAGCTTCCAAAGGGCTGCCATGTCAGACGAGGGTCCCAAAATATCAGGGACAGGGCTAAACCCTGTTTGAGCTGCAAAAAGACAAAAAAGGAAAAAAAGGAAGTCTCCACCTTATGATAAAATGTTACTGTGTTTTCTTTTCAATCCCCTCAAAAGTAACATTGGATAACTCTGTCCATCTGTGATAACACACTAACTTGAGTAAAGCACCTGAAATTCTGACTCAGATTCTTGTACCAGTGAGGTTGGGACAGGAGCATTCCTGGAGCTGAAAGTTTTCCAAGGAATATCGGTGAACTGAAATCAGTGAAGTTCCAACACACTACATTTACAATACCAATGCTTGGTCTTTTTGCACAACTAAAAGAGTACTTTAGACAAACCTATACTAAAAAAAACTTTGGAAAGAGTGAATATTACAGATGGAAGTAATGCATTAGCAGTTATCCAGAATTTGTTTAGACTTTTATCTATAAACCTGCTAAAATGAGGATTCATCTGAAAAAAAAAAAGACACCAGCCCTTCCCATGCCACAAGATGTCACTGTGTTCTGTGAAGACGTAAGTATCAGAAAAACATTCTTCTATTAATCCTCTTCAGAACAGTGGCTTATTTTAACACAGATTATTTTACAAAGCACACCTAAACCCCCCCCCCCCAGCATTAAACCAGATTTTTGGAATTTGTGTTGATAATGTGTCTGAGGTGGCACATCACCAAATGAAGTGACAAAATCTCCCAGTTCCAAGACTTCAGTGGGAGCCAGATGCCAGCTGCATTGAGAACCCAGGATGGAAATCAATAAGGAAGAGTCATTTACCTAATGGTAATGTGTAAATCCAGGGCAAGCTGCACTTAACTTGAGGAAGAACAAAGATTACAGTAAAACAAGCCAGATAAAAAAGCTAGTTATATTTCATATTAATATGAAATTATTGTACCTAACTTAATTTATCATCCATTAATCTCTAAAATTTACCTTTTTAAAGACTGGAATATATTCAGTGACAAAGAGATACTAGAGAATCTCTTGCAGCATATTCAGGCAAGATTAACTCTTCAATTTTATTGGGTTTTTTTTATGTAAATCAGTATTATAAGCTATTACTGTAGAAACTGAAGTATATTCTGTGTATGTTTCCTCTGAAAGAATGCAAAAATGGGTGGCACTTACTAAGGGTGCATTTCTCATGTCCTGTGGAATTAGCAGATATGAAGTAATGATACATTATAGGCATGTAAATCCATAATGCTTTCTGGCATCCTATTGAAAAGGGAAAAGCAGCTGAAGGCATGAAACAGGGATTATCTCCCTAACTCTGCCAAGCTTCTGAGCAATCACAGCCAAATCATTCACTTCCAAAACTAAATGGGGACAGTCACTTCCTTAGTACAACCCTTCAAATTTGCTGATGCACTGCAGTGTAACAGTGCCAAGGTATTACTGCCACTGATGTCATTAACTCTGAAAAGGGTGATAGGTAACTAATACTTTACAAAGGTAAAACAGGCTTGTCCCCTTGCTGTTTGTGTTTTTTTCTCGCTGATAAAGCTGGTTATTCTTCTTCCTACATATTTCTGCTTGTTTATCTTCCTCCAAGCCTTGCCTCCTGTTGTACAAACATTCAGAGATGATGACAGCCCTGATTTCATATAACAGATTAGCCACAAAGTCCTGTCCAGTTGTTATCTAGCCCAGCTGAACTCTTGCAAGGCAGGCGAGCAGGATGGGATAACAAAAGGTCAAGCGGGGATGAACTGAATGGGTGTCACCTCCCAGTCACACCTTTCCAGCATCAGCTGGCCCCTGTGGCTCTTGGCCATTTACTCTCAGCTGACACATTCCTGGAAGCCGACCTACAATCCCTAACAATCAGTTAACTGCTCCACTCCAGAGCAGGGGAAAAAAACCAACCAAGTCAATAATGAATCTTGCCTTTCATCATTGGTATTTTAAATTGCAAACTTCACTCCCAGATTGCCTGTCTACAGCATCCAACCCACCAGAGTTCATCTACTGTCAACCTTAGCAGTCCCATTTCCAAAGAAAAGCTGCTCCTCCTCTGAGAACAATGTCACCAAGCTTTGTCCTCCGTGTCCTGCACCACTGACCTCAGTTTCAACTTGATACAATATCAGCTATCCAACAGGAAGCTCTGACTTCACAAAAAAAAAAAAAAATCCAGTAAGATAACTCTGAACATTTTTATTCAACTTTTTTTTTTTTCCCCAAAACAGCTGTAGCACACACAAAAATGTCTGCTGCTCTCCAAAGTCTTCTGCCATTCCATTCTAAAAATAACTCCTGTGCAATCAATCCCAATTGTTAAAGGGCTGGAGGAGCTGAGTCGAGGGCCTGGAGAGCTGCAATTAATGCAGTAACTATAGCACTGAGTGTGTATCAATTAATGGCGCCCCACTACTGTTTCATAATACAAATAATTCAGGAAATGTAGCAAGACAGGAATTATTTCAGGAAATGTAGTTTATATGTTCATTATATAATTATTTATATTTTTGATAGATGTGGTTTCTCATACAAGTGATTTATTTATTTAAAGTATTGCTTAAAGAGATCTTCATTAAAGCTTTTTTTTATCTCGGCCTCTTGATTCATTTCCATCTGTTTTCAATACACTCAGAAAAGTTTCATTTTTAAAATGATCAAGCTTTTTGGAATGTAATGAGATTTGAAACCACTCATATGGGGAGGGGCCCAAGTAGGAAATCTTGTTCTGTTCTGGGGCTTTTTTGTTAATGACCCAGTTTTCTGAACTCAAGCCTTACACCTTTCCAGGCAGAACACTGCATTTTCTCACTAGGCAACTTGATGTTTTACTGCTTTTCAAAAATAATAACAGATCTTCCCATTTGTGCTTATCCTAGAAACCTTGGCTCTAGAGGTGGTTTTATTGTAAGTCTGGTTCTAATGGGACTGCCTGCATGAATGAGGAAACTCTGGAGACTTGCAAGGCCCTTACAAAGTTTTAGAAACAAACCCAACTTGTTTAGAATAATGGCTTTTTTCAGTATATCACGATTACTTGCAATGCTTCACTATGTGTGATAATTTAGTATCCTCTGATTTGCGATTTCATTTTTTCCGAAACTTAAGATAACCTGAACTGTTTATGTGGTGGGCTTTTTTTTTTTTTTTTTGGTTTGTTTTTTCAGAATACAGGAAGTAATTTTCAGAGATGCTCAGCTTTAGAGTTTCAACCTGAAAGTATGAATGGCTCTAGGACTGTTGGGTGTCTGTGACAGCTCTGTATTATTGGCATTCTTGACTGAAATAAGGGCCTGTCTTTGCCACGTGTTGTAAGACATGCACTTACCACATGACTGAGCTTACAAGTCCAGGAGTCAAGAAAAAAGGAAGGGAACAGAAAGAGGTATTGCTTCTTACAGCAGAAGCTGAAGGACAAAAGGAGGGTTTGTAAAATGACAAATCAAAGCAGAAGACACAGCTCCATCCTGATTTCAGGGTTCAGAAGAAAGACAGGTACTTTCAAGTAAAACAATAACAACCCTGTTGTCTGAATAAAGCTTAGAGCAGACATACTAAAACCTGAGAGAAAAACTGGGAGGCTTTTATTTGAATACTCTTAGTTGAATTTTAACAAGATTAGGGCAGTATTTCTAAACATGATCACTGCTGTATCTCAGTGCTTCAAAATGCTTTTTAACATGAACAGGTATTTTAAAGGGGGCAACTCTTCTGAAACAGCATATATTATAGTTTCTGTATGTAACTGTTCCTTCTGGAGAGAGCGGTGCCACAGCACCGAGGGCATTGGCACCATCACTGCACAACAGACAAGAAGATCATCAATCTCTCCCAGAGAAAAGCTCACTGCCCGTTTCTGGAGCTCTGCAGGCAAGATATTGCTTTCCTTTAATTCAGATCACATTAATATTAAAGCTTTAATTTTAGAAGTTCATAATAAATTTATGTTTGTGTATCATTCCAAAATTAAAATTTGCAAATTGACATTATTAATATATTGTCTTTTGTTTTTTTCTAGAAGCTTTCACCCAGAAATGAAAATCCTTCAGTCATTAGTGTTTTATAGCACTATTTCATCTCTTTTAGAAAGTGAACTCTTAAGTAGTAATAAATTAACTTATTAAATATAAATATATGCAATCGTATTTCCTATATGCTAGGTTTATATCTTATTTTAAAGTAAACAAATACAAAAATACAAACTTGGTTTAGAATAATACAGTAAATATTTCATCTATTTCCTAAATATGGTGGAGGAGGAAGTATCTGTGAAGAATAAATTCAGTATTTTAAATATTTATGGGGTTGTTACATTTTTATATACATTTCTAGCATATGAATCAGGAAATGGCCTTTTCTGCTGTATTTAAATATGTTTTATGGTAAGATGAAAGTGAATACATATTTACCACATTAGTTTCCTTAGTAAATTAAAATTTCATTTACTGGAGATTTTTTTTTTGTTGGCTTTTGTTTGTTAGTTATTTGATAGGTTTTTTTTTTTTTAAGAATGGGCTTTTTTATACAATAAAAGTTAGACTATATAGTTTTGATTAGTAGATCTCCCAAGGTAATCTCTTAATTACAATTTACATTTGCAATTAATCATTTAACTGCATCTCAATCTTGAATAAGTTTCTGAGAAAGAGCTTCCCTAAATACACATCCATGGATGGCACAAGTATAGCATTTATGGATGTATAAATCCAGGGTAGCAGCCATGTCTGATCAAAAGTTTATGCTCATAATCAATGTGTGGATGGGTTTTATTTATTTGTGGTCCTTAATATAATAGGATGTTTACTTCAGGAACCTAATCTGCTTTTCAAATCTTATTTAGGGTCCTGTTGGTGACTCTACCCATAGGCAGAACTCAGTCTCTGTTATGGTCTCAGCACCTAAATGGAATGGATACCCTGGCCGTGAAGTGTTGCTGCAGCAGGGCAGCTCTTCAGCAATTACCTGAGACAAACAGGTGATTTTGCAACTTCTAGGCATGACAGAGGGAGGAAATACAGTTTCTGGTCCTCAGACTTTATGAGAAAAGAAATGAGAAATTCCCACCATGTTCTCAGGGCAGTCTTTAAGATGTATTTGGCCTTTTAGCCTTTCCTTGGAAGTAATTTGTACTGTCACCACTGAAGCAGGTCATTTCAATGCACAGGTCATCACCCTTCCCCCAGAAATAGCAGTTCTCAGTGTTCCTAGAAGGAATCATTTGGGGATTTCACAAAAACTAACTAGCTGGATTTTTTCAAGATACGGTAGTCAGGTTCCCTGGAGATTGAGTGTAATAAATCTGTCCTTAGGTGTGACTGAATGCATCTTCTTGACAGCTTGTGACCTGCTGCTGAAGTAACTTCAAAATACTTTATTTCCTAAGGGAGACTCTACTCACACTAATTCACAAAATTTTCTAGGTTAGGAAGAAAGACTCTGGTTGACAAAGGAGTCAGTGGCTGCTCAGCCTGACTACTCTCCTCAGGCACAAATTAAGGTACTAGAGTATATGCCTGACAACTGAGAGTATAGCAGTGAAAACCTATTATCTTCCATTAAAAACAAAAAATCAGCATTGAATTTTACTCGGTTGTTCTTTATATCCCCTGACTGAGGAAAAGAAGCATCTAATAAAACACTCAGTCGCACTTAAAACTTAATGCTACACTTCATGGAATATAGACATTGTGCTTTTCTTGTCCCTGTGACATTTTGCCCTTAGACAAACATGAAGCAATGAGATAGAAAAGACATACAAGGTTATGAGAATAGCAGAAACTGTAGCTTGAAGAAATATAAAGGAGGAAAGAGAGGGCATTTGGCAATCAGAAAAATAAAAAGTTCCAGCTGGCAGACACTAAAACATCCAGATATCCTGTTAGAATCAGTATGAATTTAGATTATTCTGTACGGGAGAAGTCATGAGAGACCTGTGTGAGAAAAACTCAGATGGCACAACTGGAATGACTGTCAGTCATGACTGGAATAAAAACTGAGTACAAAAAGATCTTTTATAGGGACATGAATTTACACCATCAGGTGAAAGAAGATTGCATAAAACCATGATATAATTGCATAATTGAAATAGATTGCATAGAGAGGAATAGCTGCATTTCAGTCTGGCAAGGAAAACAAAGGTGCCAGCTGACAAACAGTAATAACAACTGTGATGGTTCACTATAACCTTGATGCCAACAGTTACTGGGCTGCACCAACAAATGAAAAAAATAAACCAAACCCACATCATTGCAGTATATAAAAGAGACAGAAAGCATATAAGTAACTTTAGACATACACGTTGTCGCTCCAAATTCAAATGGAATTACTCATGTGAATAAAACCAGTGATATGCATGAGCCTGCACAATGTAGCCTAGATACCAGAGCAAAAGAAGGACCAACTCTTTTGTCAGAAGCCTGAAAAAATGTTTTGCAAGCTGTTTTCATATTCAGACTCCAAATGACAGGGTCCGTTTTGGACTGGAGTCCAGCCTTCTGAAAAATTCCCACTCCCAGCCGACATGGTCCAGTATTCATCCCAAGCCAGATGCACTTTGGCTTGGGTTTTGGATGGTTGCATTTCTTTGTTTGTCTTTTGCTCGACAGAAGGCATTTTGTGCTTTATGCTCTTTGACTGTGGAAAAGGGAATGAGCAAAAGGAGGGTGGTGAATCTCCTAAACTGGAAGCGGGCAGCAAGAGCTCTGGCAATTCCTACCACAGACCTCCCGGCAGCATCGCGGAAGCGGCAGGTCCCTGTCCCCAGCGGTCTCCTGGCTGCTGAGCGCCGACGGCCCTTCCTTCCTTTCATGCGTTTTGTTCCTTTTCGTACCTTTTGAGTGAAAGCGACTTTGTGCAGAGCTGCACCCAGCCCCTCTGTCCATCAGCACGGCGCTGAGCACGGCCGGGCTGTGAGGGGTTCCCTGGGCTCTGGGCGTGCATGAGCGCTGCCAGCGCCCTCAGCGCCTTCCCTCAGCGCCCTCTCCGCCGGAGCTCGGCTCTGCCTGCTGCAGGTGCCCCCGCTGGCGGGCAGGCCTCAGCGCCCCCTCCTCTGACCCCCACCACGGCTGGGCTAGTCCCCACCGAGACGGGGGCAAGGGAAAGAAAAGCAGGAAAAACACTCTGGTGAGCCGGCGTGTGGCAGGGGTGCACCAAGCCTGGCCGCGCCCGATGCCGCCCCTCGGGCCCGCCCCAGGCCCCCCGCCCCAGGCACGGCGCCCAGCGGGGCGGCGGGAGATGCCCGGCCGCAGCCCGCACGGCCGGGAGCCCGGGCAGCCTCCCCCGCCTCCCGGGGCAGCAGCCGGGCGCCCCCGCGCCCTCCCCGGCCTTACCCTCCCCTCCCCTGCCGCGGGCGGCGGGGCCGGCGGCGAGCCCGGGGCGGGCGGAGCGCGGCCGCTGCCCGGAGCCTGCGCGGGGCCGCCGGGGCCGCCCCGCGGGTGGGACCGCTCGGGGCCGAGCGGGCGGGGTCCGGGTCCTGTCCGGGGCCCCTCCGTGTCCCCTCCGTGTCCCCTCCGTGTCCCTGCGCTCCGGGCACGGCCGGAGCGGCGCCGCGGCGAGAGGCTGAGCCGAGGATGCGCGGGGTGCTGCGGGCTGCGTTCCTTGCGGGAGGAACGTCTCGTAGTCGTTATTTGCCCTCTTAGTCATGGGGAAAGTGCTAAATCTCGTTTCTGGCCTGAACGCAGCCAGAAACAAACATCTCTATAACTTTTGGGTTTTTTTCTGTGGTAGCGGCGGTGGGAAGGGGGAGGACGGAGAGCGGTGTTTGTTGGCGTTCTCCGTTTCAAGCCCTTTCAAGTCAGGGTTTAGCCCAAAGCTCCCTTTGCACGCTTTTCAGTGAGCCGCAGCCCCAGCGCTTGCTTGGACTTGTGTCCTTGGCTTTCCGTTCGGCTGCCACCGGCTCGCATTTTTGCCTGTTTCTCGTTTACAGCTACATAAGGCTTCAGAAAACAGGAATGAAACTCCCCCACCCACACGTGCATCTATTTTCCATGCTGACATATTTCCCTGCTTTGAGGCGGAGGCTAAAGCTTTCCTCCTAGTATTGTTCCTAAAAAAAGAGAGACTTGGGTAGCTGCAAGTGAAGGCCAACAGATAGACCCAGTCCATAGCAATGCAAAGCATGTGGTTTGGACGATATAAATAATGTGAATACATTTGATTTTAATATATTATGTATAACATATCTGACTGTAGTAGTGATGTGTGCTTCTGAATTCCAGCACTAGAAACTCCGGTGTAATTGAGAGGCCAGTCCAGAAATTTCTCCAGCCTTAATTGTGTTCTCCTAGGAATTAAAAAAAACACCAACAACCCAACAACAAAACCCAAACCCACACATATTTCATAAAAAGAACTCTGAGATCATTAGCTAACATTTGGAAGTCCCTCAAATTAACATGCGTGAAGGACTGTGGCCAAACTCCCACTGGCTCCCATAAAAGCAGTAATCAGCCCTTCAAGTAAGATTCTCCACAAAATAACACCCAGAAGCCCCTGCAGAAAGGATTGCCAATCTCACCATCTGACTAGATTAAAAACAGCAGTAACAATGTGATAATTGACAGAAGAAACTTCCCTGACAAGGAATGAATCAGTGTTTATTTTTAGCCTTTCCCCCAAAACTCTTTATTTAAATGAAAGATTAGCTAATTATTTCCGTCGTTGTATTGTCCACTCTAGAAACAGGAGGTGGCTGATCTGCACTTGTCTTTGGCTCTTCCTTTGAGGTCTGCACCCTGGAAGGGTGAGATTCTGCCAGTTGTCTTTTCATTTCCAGTCTGATCAAATATGAACAGTATGAAGGTTTCACTAAATTTAGACACTCCCAATCAATTTTTTTTTTTTTCCTGAGTAGAAAGCCCCAGCAAAGGTGGCAGAAAATGTAAATTGTGGTTGTGGCCGTATCCCACCTTTGCTCCAAGCTTCTCTTGCCAGCAAGTCATTAATCCTGTTGCTGCAACTGCCCACTGCAACCTTGTGCACTGACAGAGCACTTGCATTCCAGGAAGATAATTTCCTTTCCCTGTGTACAGGAGCCAGCAGTAAAATTTTATCTAGGAGAAAGCAGTTTACCTAGGAAAAGGCTAGCAAAATATTTGTTCTGTTTTATTGAAGAAATGCAAGGAAACTTTATTGATCCCATAGATACCAAGTAATGTCTGTGTTTCTGATAATAAGCATTTGGGTTCTGCCTTTTTTTTTTTTTTTTTTTTGAAGGGAGGAGTTGTTTTTTTCTGACTTTTTTTTTCTTCTTACATTTTTTTCTGATTTTTTTAAATTTGTGAATGAATTGTGGATTGCAGCATGGGTTTCATAAGTAGAAAATTAATCAAACTGCTTTGAAAATGTCTGAGGATACTTTTTTTTTTGTTTGTTCTTATCTTAACTGCTGTGGAATTAAGACGCATAAATTACTCATTGTTTCATTCAACCACATATCCATAATATGATGGTTGCTGCAAAGCACACAACGAGCTGATATACCAGTCTCTCACTTTCTGTGTCTCAAAGCAATTGTACCACACTAAATTCATAAGTCAAATCACATGAATTTTAGTCCTGGAGAATGAGTCTCATTTTCAGCATTTGAGTCTTTATTCTTCAATGCAAAATGTTTGTGTGTATTTTCTTTTCCACACCTGTTAATATTTCATACAATTTTGAATATGAGTACTTTAGCTAGACCAGTTCTAGGTAAAATAGTTTATTTGTACTAATTTGGTGTATACTTTTTCATTCTCAAACAGAGTGGAATGTGAAGTAGAAGTAAATGATCATAAAAATAATGTGAATGTCTCAGTGTTATGTGCAACCCACTGATCGCTTTCAGGAGTTACACAGAGAAACTCCACTGTTGTTTTGCTCTTAGGAGCAGCCTGAACCTTCAGCATCTCATTTCACATGTTACTGCAAAAGATACATCAAAATGGAATTTTTCCTAGAAAGAAAAGTATTGTTTTTCCTGTTTCTTCATCTCCTAAAAAGACCTGGCAGAAAGGGCTGCTCACTGGGATGAGCTCTGCCATGCAAGTATTAACAGTATTAACGGCAATGGTGCCTCCCAGCCCAGGTAACTCAATTCCTGTTTAGAAGTAAGATGTCTGTAATGCTAATGGAAACATTGGATGAAATTATTTAATCTGTGAGCAATCAGGCCAAACAAATCCATGAATCATTTATAATCATTCCTACACCACTGCATTGCAAGAGATACAGTTACGTACAAAGGAAAACATTACAGATGGGGGGAGGGTGAAACAGAGAATAAGGTAGATCAGTAAAACTAGCATGAAATACATGGGATTTTACAGACCAAGTCCAAAAAGCAAGTATTTAGAGCAGATTTTGAGTTCCTAAATCTAAAACAGAGTTGGTGGAAAAACCCCAGTGAGCTGTGTCTGACCTTGCATCACGCCTAGATTCCCAAACCACATTTCCTGTTTATACAGAAGCTATATTCTGCTGTACAGAGCCTCTCTGTGTGCCCAGATCTGCACCAGTTCAACAGGGCTGAGCAGCTTGGCACTCTTTCATATCTCAGCTCAATCAGGAACTAAAAGCTTTGTGTTGCTTCATTCAGTTCCCCAGAGAGGCTCAGTTCAAGAGGTAATCCTCAAACCTCTCTAAAGGATGCCAATCAGACCGAGTCTTGACAACTGGAGTTGTACCTGTTCCCTCTAAAAGACATTTCTGTGATCTACTAGAGCAGGTACAGCATTTATCCTGGAAGTGGAAGGTCTGAGTTCAGGGCCTGTTCTTTGCAGATCAGAGACACCAGCAGCCATATTGATGTCTGGGTGTGTTAAGTATTCACATGAAACCAGCTCAAAGCTCACAGTCACAGCTCCATCCCCTGCACAGGGCACTCCAGAGCAGCCAGTCAAGCTCTGTACAAGGATGCTTAAATGAGCACTGATGTGTTCCTCTCAGATCTGACTAATGCCATGCCAGCAGAGGGGGCTGGAAAATAGCTGAGAGGCAGCGTTAGGGTGGTGGTAGTACCTCTGGTAGCTGTGCCAGGGGCCTCCTCCTTCAGTATGTTCTTCCTCTTAAGGAAGCAAAAATCTACATTCATTTTCTAAACTATTTCAATATGGAAAGCTGATTTTTTTTTTAAAAAGAGATAAGTTATCAATTTTTAAGATAAATGTTCCTTTCAGCCTAGCAATAGCTACTCAGGAATTTGAATTTGCAGCTAACAGGTTGGTAGATATAAGCAGCACTGGCTGCTGGTCAACTCTCCTGGAATGGCTTCAGTGAATACAGGTTTGGGAATTACCACTGGATGGCAATCTTGTGCCACAGAGGCTGTAACCACCTGTGATTTTATTTGGCTGCAAACACAGACGTTTTTTAAAGACTTCTACTTCTTCGAAATACCATCATAGAGTTACTCTGAGTAAGGCTTTTAGTTTAATTTGGAGTTGCACCAGCATAGCTGGGACAAGAATATGAACCAGATGTTAAGAAGTGATATTTGACTGTTAATTCAATCGATAAACTTTTGAACAATTTATGAGACATAAATACGAGGAGCAAAAATAGAAGCTCTGGCCATGAAAGACCAAACTCACCCAGCATCACTTTTGTGTTATTACAATCTACACTAAATTCTAATAATCGACCTTTAATGCCTTGTTACAAGCCAGTGGTTTTACCCTTAAGACTGCTATATTATACACAGTATTCTTTAAAGAAATTTTTACTATGGCTAGCTTAAAACAAGAAGTTATCTTAGTTCTGAAAGTCAACATTTGAAGACTGTTTTAATGTTTCCAGTCTATGTATTTTAAATGTTTGGAGGGTGTTTCAATAATTTCCAATCCCAAATATTATGTTTTTATTTTTAAATATTTGAATAATGGGTCATTTTTTTTCACATAGAATAATAATTCTGTAAAAGTCAACATTTTTGTCAGAAAGTATGTAGATTTTTTGAAAAGGAATCAATTTTGGACTAAATCTGCATTGTTAAGAAGTGATGACTTTTTCAGCTCTCTAGTTGACTAGAATCCCGTTCAAAATAACTCTTTAGGAAAGATAATCCATTTGATTTAATGTTCTCTATACTTGTTGTGTATCAATGGGGTATATGAGAGAACACCAGGAAATTACTGCAAGTGCATTTGAACATCAGGGAAAAATTTTCCTTTAATTTGTGCTTCTGCTCCTTTTCTGTTTGTACTGATGGTGGCATCTCTTTCCCATTAAGAGCTTCAGTTCCCCAACCCTGGAGTGCACAATACTCTAAACATTAGGAATTACAAGTCCAACAACTTCTTCAGTAAAGT